AAAAAAAAAAAAAAAATCTGCTTTTAAATGAAACGTATTGTCAATGTGAATGGGGAGAAAACAATGTAATAAAACTCATATGTAGAGCAAACCTCAGCCTATCAGTTTTTCAACTGTACTGGACAAACCAATCTTAATTAAATTTAGAAAGAAAATACTTTATGTAGCCAAAGGTATAATTTGCAAGAAACTGTGTTATTGTTGTTATTAAGAAACAAGAAATTATTATAGGTTCATTAAGAAACTGAAGTAAAATAATTAAAAAAGGCAAAGAGAGTATATTTGCTTTAGTTTGCCTTCTAATTTGCTAAAGACTACAAATTTAAGTATGTAGATCTTCAGAGGCATGTATAGAAATGGTTTACAGAACTCTGGAATACCTATTAGCCAGCATCTGAATCTACTTCTCTCTCTTCAGTGAAATCCCTTTCTCTCTGGTAGCACTGAGAAAATCTCTATCAGAACTTAAGAAAAAGGTTAAGGCAACCTTGACATAATGGTCTTGACCGTAGTGCACATACTATCTGCATAAAGAGGCAAAAAAAAATATTCAGAGATGCCATGGGTTCTAAACAAAAATCATGGCTAAAGTTTGAACTCAGAATTTTTAATTAACATTTTTTAGAAATTGAATTAGACCAGAGTGGGAGTGGGTATAAAAGATACCTTAAAGATTATGATATTCCAAAGTCTAAGACACAGAACAGGGTCTAGAGCAAAAAGAGGCAGGGCTCAAGTAAGGTCAGGTAGACTAAACAGAATTCTGAACTGCAGTGAAAGTACAGGCAAGCAGGAAGATACAGTTGTCTATTTGGCTTTAACATCCACATCCTTCTTCCTCATCAGTGCCACAGATCATCATGAATTTCTAGTGAAAGATGAGTGGCAAAGTGTAACAGGAATATTCTCAAAGAAATTTCAGCAAAGGTAATAACTAAACCATTAAGGTACAGCAGTGGTAAGAGCTAAAATAGCAGGATTGTTTTTTCCCCTTAACTGAGCTGCAGATGGATCCCATTTTCAGTGGAGTCACAGGAAAAGTAGTGCAATCTCCCAACTGACCATGAACCACTGAAAAACTGTGAGGGTTTCTGCCTTTTTACATAGAACAGTCTAGTCTCAAGAAACAGTGAGTTTGACAAACACTTCATTTTTTGACAGCACAGAGAATCTCTCCAGCAGTTCTGAAGCAGGAATATTGTACTGAAGAATCCTGAATCTTTTCAGGCAATCTTGCCACAATAGGCTGAGTTTTACAAGTTAATACATATTTTTGCAAACAATTCAACTTGGAACACATTCAATCTGTCTACCAAGGCAGTCTGTTTCTAACCCACCCATATATAGTTCAGTTTTCTCAATGTAACTTACTGAATCCAAAAGTTTCTCTTAAGTAGCCTAAATCTAAAAAAATTTTGGAGCATTCTATGCTCCAAACAGGGACTTGAGTCAGTACTTTTTTTTCCTATTTTTTTTTTCTCAGTTTCCATTTGGACTCCAGCACAACTGAATCTGTTCCATTACAAATTCAAGCAAAGTCTGATAGCTGACTCTCCCACTGAAACAGGCTGCACTGGCAAACAGGATATAAAAATCAGAGAGGTGATGCAACATGGTAGGCCTAAAATAGAGTGCCATAGCCAGTGAGAGATGCACCCCTTACTTCCTTACTCCTGGAGGCACCAACCCCATCCCCAGCAGAGCACGTAAATTTTTCTCAGACTTCTTCATCTGGAATTTGAGCTGTGGAAATGGTGGTAACCTGGCAGCACTCAAAGGAACACAAGTTGTGCCAGCACTGTATCAGGGGAGAGAAAAGTCATAGCAGTGAGATAAAATTCCTGTAACTTTTACTCTCAGATAAACCTGTATCTCCAGAGCAGTCTAAAACTACCCCAATACATGACAGCAAAAGGCACCCCAGGGGTGCCTCTGGCAGACAGAGCTGGAGGCATCCTAACAACTTGCCTTAGGCAGAACAGGCCTGGAGCTCTTCCAAGGGAAGGAACAAAAATCAGCGATATGGCCAAGCCTTCCCCATTAACTGAAGAGATCTTTGGGGATATCCTTTCCCCACTGGACAGATTCTCGGATAACATTTGCAAAACCTTTTAATGCCAAAACTGCATCTCAACCCAAGTCACACAGTAAAGGTAAGGGCTGCATGAACACACTGTAGATCCCAGCTGGTGAAATCGACCCCACTAAAGCAGTCTCTGCTGAGGCACAAAAACTATTAGTCAAAGTGCTCTTTTGAACTGGCATCCCAGAATAGTACCTCAGAAAGAGATCTGTTTTGAAGAAAAATTCTAAAATAGCAGACAATATCCAGCTCAAGTAAAAAAAAACCAAAACAAAAAACAAAACAAATAATATAGTTCATATTTCTTCTTGGGTTTTCACTTGCCTCCATCACACATCCTAATAAATGTGAAAAATAAACACAAACAGAACACAGGCATTATGTTAAACAACAAAAACAATAGATACATGTCAACTTTACACCTACCTATCATGACTGCAGAAGTTAAACAAGGTAATGATGAACCTGAGATTTACTAAAATTTATTAGGACATTAATCTTAGTCTTCTCATAGTTATACACCCATACATAAAATACTGGTTTCCCATTTAACTTCTTTGCAAATGAGAAAGTAAACTCTTACCAGGTTATTCAATAGCTTTCATATGGGCAGGGACAAATTATTTTAACATTCTTACTGATTTTTTTCTAAAAAAATCCATCACCTAGTTCTGAGAAAGAGCATTTATTCAATTACAATTCTCTAAAAATTACACTTTACCAGTCCTCAACATGGCATGAGAACAACAAAAGATCAGTAGCCATTAAGATACTGCAACAAACCACATATTTTCTGCAGGTCTTAGATCAGTCAGAAATGTGTAGTGCAACAATAATGTGTCGAATGTTTAGTCCAAAATACTGATACCTATTTAAAATAATTAATTGCAAATTTAGTTTCTACTTTCCCAAATAAATTTTACTTGTGTTAATACTGTCACTATTCAGTGTGCCTCTGTGAATGTGCATATAAATTTGTGCACATATATGTGTTTGTGTATGTATACATACAACGCCAAATTTATATGCATTCTATTAAACATCATCTTGATTTTTTTGGCCTGTTAGCAGCAGTTATAGAGGTATTTTACCTGTGACACGGTTTTGAAATAGAACAAATGTTCCTGTAGTCTTTAGAACCAATAAAAATACACAAACCATTTTCTTCATGGATATATTCACTTCAATGCACAAAACCCTTCCACTGCTCCATTTATTCCATTAGTGTAGTGGCTTAAATGATGCATGAGGCTTTCAGCAGTGAAGTGAATGTCATTCTTAAGGTCCCAATAAAAAGATAAACAATATAAGAACCATAACTCAATACTGAGAAATATCTGCAAATAAAAGTAAAACTATAAATAGTACTTTCAAGTCCAGCCTGATGGAAAACAAAGCAGTTTCTCCTGCTGGTATTAGGCCCCAATTCAAATCAGCATTTAAGAATGTGTTTATTAACATTAAACTCCAGCTTTAATCAATAAAATTTGAGTTCAGGCTTTCTTGATACGCATTCTTGAGACAGGGCCTCAATGATTAAAAGAGGCTCAATTACAAAATGAAGGTAGCAAAATAGTCAATAGTGCACTGGGAAAATTAAAATCTACAAGCTTGGTTCAGTTTCAACAACTGGTCAAATAAGGTAAGTGCAAAGTGTGAAAGACTAGACTTGCTCTGCCAGTGCTACATTCCAGAATAATAAATACTACTGTAAAATATTTGAGTTTGATCTCTTTTTCTCTGTGCTTCCTAGCAGAGCTGCCAGATACATGATTTGAGTCACTTGTTTAATTTCTTCAATCAAACAAATTATTTTTCCAATTAAGCTGCTCAATGTAATCAAGAATAGAAGTAAATGATGTGAGAAATGTTACGGCACCTGTGACTACCAAAAATAGAAGAGGGACTAAGTGAGCATACTGCTTCTGTGCTTCCTCTCTCCTGCTCTAAGAGATCTGGCCAATTCCAATCAAACACTAAAGGCATCAGTAAGTTTTTAAAAGGCTGGTGAGAATCTGTGGCAGTGTGACTAGTCAGACCACAAAAGGGATAGCAGCAAAAACAAGCAGATGCCTCCCTTGAAGCAAAAGTGCTGTGTGAGCTCATTAGTGCTCTGGTCTGTTGCTCCTGCTGCTTAACCACACAGCATCTACAACACCTGGAAACAGCCCTAGCACAGCAGCACCTTTTTCCCATCCAGGGCTACATCACTATCTTCAGGAACTGCTACCCACATACTCAGAAGGCAGCAAGCAAGGCTGTTCTCTCTGGGACCAGCCCTTACACTCAGAAGAGCAGTGGTAAAGTTGTAGGACAAGCATTTCTAGTCCCTGCAAACAGATTACTGTTTACCTTTGTCTGCATGGTAAAGAGAAAGGTAAATCTCTTCCCCCATTTAGGATTTGGCACTTCTTAACTGAGTGTGTTTGTATCATTCTGATTTGTTTGCATGGGGACCATTTTTTCTTGAAGGAATTAATTTCTCATTTAAATATTAAATACTCATGGGAGGTCAGCAACTTTGTTAGTACCAAGCAAGCTCTATCCAAAGAGCAATAGGAAAGCTTCCCTTTGTCCCCCTGAGCTGAGAAAGGCCCGTTTAGAAAAGTACTTTGGCCCACTGAGATGGTGCTATTCTTCCAATTCATGTACCCATTAGAGGTTGAAGACTTTTTTTGTGCTCCTCTATGATCTCATTACTTAGATGCCATAATCAGATGTACACCCTAGAGATACAGTTTCAAGATACAAGAATTAATACATTATGTCATCTACCACATGTCTCTCCCTTTTAATTCTTTCACATGATGTCTTGTCAGAAGACAATTCTATGGAAGCAAATACTACTTTTCTCCTTAAATAAAAACAAAACCACAAACAAATCCAAACAACAACAACAAAAAACAAGAACAAAAAATTTCAAATCATATGTTACTAATTTTTATAGTGTTAGACAATTAAAAATATTGCAGTCAATAGTATGAATTTCAGAGTGTATCTTCTCTTTTAAAAATATCTCTCCAGTATTTACAAGGTAGTACAGAATATAAACAGAGCAAAAGCCTTTGACAGTTCTTAGAATCCTTGTATCCAACAAAATCTGGAACAACAACAACAAAATAGACAAAGCTCTGGTGTCCTTGCACTGCACAGAAAAACTTCCAAACTTCAGGAGTTTTATATTATCAGTTCTCCCAGTTCAGTCTTAAATAATTACATTGGGCATACACATATACAAAATCAATAGCTGTATATAAACAAACTATACTTCCTTATTTCCTCTGCACTGTACAAATTACACACTTCAAAACTTTACTTTTGAATAGAATATATATATATATAAAACACAAAAATATATATATAAGCATTATGCTTCAGCCTGAAGAAATCAGCTGGAGGTTTCATGAAGTGCTCTGTTCTTCTGCAGCACTGTATTTAGTTCCTGAATCACATCTGATGGTAATTTACTATCTAGTTCCAAAGTAGTTTTGTTCGGTTTGTTTTTATTTTTCTTCAGTGTCTTATGTGATCTTTGGTGTAATTCAGGCATCCCTGAGCCTGCATCATCTTCAGAAATCAAATTTTGATGTGTTTTTGCATGATTTTGCACTTTCTCCTCCTTTCTTTCCAAACATTGTGCCACAATAGATGCTTTTTCTTTCAAGTTTTTTCTTTCTTCTAGAAGTTCGTTATCATGGTGTTCACCAAATCTTGATTTTCCAGTTTGTAGTTCTATACGCTTATCAAGCAAGCAAAGAGAAAGAAGTTCATTCACACCATATTAAAAAAATGTTTAGACTGCAATTTTTGCTCATTAGTTTCACATAAATTTTAAAGGAAAATAAATTTACTCAAGAGCTAAGACAGCAAGTCAGTTTTAAATTACCACAATTGTCCTATTATCATTTAGTAAGAATATTTAGTGACCAAATTCTCAATTAGCAGTACTTCTGAAATTTACATAAATGCACCATGCCAATGAAGACATTTATTTTCATATAATCACAATTGATTTTTCATTCTACCACAGCAGACTAAATTTAAGTGTTTCACAGCAGATCCATATACTTCTAAAGACTTAGAATTGTTTGATGGAATGAATACAACTGTGTCTATTGCAGTCTTACAACTGTGTATATTGCAGTCTTGATAATATAATGACTGAGCAACATGAATATATGAGAGGTGATTTTGAACAATCACATGAACATTTTCAGCACCTGTTAAATACTAAGTGGTATGTTATAAACACTGACTTTTTCAATTTGCATATTGGTGGGCTGTTTTCAAGCTCTTAAGCTGAAGAAAATTAAAGGTAAACCAGATGCTGCATCTAAATTTGCACTCAGTTGGTGTGGCAGTAGGTAGAACATTCCTTTTGTGGAACAGCCTGAAAGTTCCAAAGGAAAATTAGGTCCTGGAATACTTCTTTCATGTGTGACATCTTTCTTGACAACCACAAGGTGGAGAAAGCTGAGGGAGACTTTGGGTCTTTTTGTATTTCCTGTGTGGAACTTGTTCAGTTTGACTGCATTTTTTATGGAGTCAATTATCCACAGCATATGAGCAACTTGTTCCTTGGAATCTTAATACACTCTATATGTTAAAACAAACATCAAAAACTACTCAAACACTAGGGAGGAGCTAGCTTAGATACACAAAATTATAGAATGGTTCGGACTTTCTTGTAGGCCTTTCTTGTAAGACCTATTGTAAGTCAGTATGCTATTTGATGGTGCTTGAAAGAAATGATTTTTCCTCATTCCTCAGTCTTGTATTTTGAAACAAAATCAAATACTTACTGCAGATACACAGCAATATCTTTCTATTGCAATTGAATTATTCTATATGAGAAATATGCATATTTTAAATGCACTATCCACATGGTGCAACAAGTGGTGTAGAAATAACCAAAATGTTTTGGTTCTATTTTTTATTATGATTCTTATTTATTGAGTCTTTCAAACCTTTGGCATTACACATTTATCTTGCTAACACACAATAAAACTGCTTCCAACAATGGGGGAAAATCATTCAACATAGACATTTTAAGCAAAAAATATTAATATTAAACTCAGCTTCTGGGTATCTTTGAGCTTACAGTGGTTTGGGGTTTTTTCTCCCCCAGTCTTTCTCTCACAAAGACATAACTTTTTTCACTGTTTGTAAAACTTCCAGTCTCTTTTCCTGTCTGTATAAATTGATGACATTTCTACTACAAGTTTACACACTGATCTGTAAATAGACCTCCATCTTTAAGAAAATGCTTGTTCCTGGTATTACTTTCTAATGCTTTAAAACTGAGATATTCTTGTGAACTGAGATATTGGAGACGTACTCAACTTCATGTAAAGACTGAAGCCATCGTCTCATCTTTTTTTTAACTGACTCCACTGCTGTTCAATATTTCTTCTTAATAAGCCATATCATACATATACTTTCCAACATTGTTTTACTGTTCATTCCAGTGTTATCTTTCCATGTAAAAACAGCGTTAGTTTTTATTTTTCCTTATGTATTTTTGTGTTAACCTTCCTAAAGTATGCAAAACCTTTTGCATAAAAATTCTAGATCTAGTCATGTCATAAATAATGAAGACTGTGGATTTCTGAGTTTAAGTTCAAATGCAGACCTCCTCAAAATTGCAGTGTACAAAACATTAGAGTCATCCCTAATAAAGCAAATTATCCACAAAAAAAACCCCTCCAAAATACATACAGTACTATAGGGCATTAAGGATTTTTAATCATGAAGCTCAAAATCCAATAAAACTTTTATCCTAGAGTGTCTGAATTTGTAGCCAACTCAAAGAATGTACTAGATGTTTCAAGTGTACTTGCATAAAGAACAGGTAAGAGACACACCTAAGGGTTATAAAGTCTTTTGACTGACAAGACCTACAATTTACTTTCATCAAAGAAGATTGAAAGTACAAGGATCAGAAAGAACTTATTAAAAATTGCAAAAATAATTTTTGAAAGAAAGAATGTTAAAAAGGATAAATTAAACAAAATTCAAAAGTTTGGAAACAAATTACAAAATACTTATATTCACATGGTTTTATACTCTTGCAGTTAGGCAGAGCAGGAATTCTTTCTGGAAGAAAGTGTAACTCAGGATGGAATTGTCTTTTATGAAAAGCACTATGCCTGCCTTTTGCTTTTGGTTTACTATGAAAAAAGTCAACTTTACCACTCCGTACCTGAACCACCATCTCTGTTAGTGGTGATAACACGTCTCATATTAAATACCTCCATTCAAAATGTTTTAAAATGTGCAAGTAGCAATACTGCTGCAGTCAAAGGACCAAGCTGTTGTTTCAAGTTACTCACTGCTGCAGTCAGGCCTGTTATCACTACTATTCCCTAGTAGAAGAGTGCCTCCACTGCTTCATCTCAGCTGGAAGTAATGCAAGTTCTCCCCGCAGGCACCAGTATCCATGTGTGGATACCAGGATCTCAAGCTAGTATGGTAAGGTTCAGATATACCACTAGTGCATGTAACATAGTAACAAAGCTCAGTCTATTCAAAGAGTTGAAACTAAAGCCTCTTATTCTTCTTTGGGAGTAATAATAGTACAAGTTAAATGTATCAAAGTTAGTTCCATCTGAGCCTTTCCATTATATTCACAGAGTGGCTAACTGTAACAGTGCAGTTATTTTAGACAGAAAAAAAGATATTTTAAGATATGCATGCAGGACAGTTTTCAAGGATCTAATTAAAAATAAAGCCCATACTGTAATAATGTGCATAATATTTCCAGCTAAAAGTCTTATTTATTCCTAATGAACCATCTCTACTCAAAAAAAGTCCAAGCACACATAAAAGTCCATTATGCTTTACTGAACAGCCAGAGAGGTTATGCAAGTTGAGACTACAAGAGCTTTTTTACATTAAATTGTCCTAAATGTTCTTTTAATGACAAAATATTGGAAGAGACATTGACAATAAGAGCATCTGCATTTTATATTTATCCAGCTCTATGGAGTTCATTATTACTGGACTACTTATTACACCATTGTGGTTAGAAGTTCTACATCAAGTTTAAACCCCACTTACTTCTGTATTCCCTCTGATTTTACAAGTGTTCTTCTCCTGATGAATGGGAATTAGTGGTAAGCCTCTGATCTTTGGACTTTTAGTTATGGACTGTTTTCTTGCTTTTCCAGCAGGCGGCCATATATCTGCATGCTGAAGAACAAAATGATTCCTTATTTTCCTTGTGGAATTTCATAAACACACAGAATTCTCTGGTATGTAAAACTCCCTTGGAAAAAGCTATATACTGCACATGCCCTCTTTTTGTGGGAGAAAGGGAAAAACCCTGTAATGCTTTAAATTATGCTAATATTTTGTAAGTAATTGCTTAACCTATGATAACAACACATTACCCAAAACACAACCTACAAATATGCAGATCTGTTTTCAACAGTAGTATTTTTTGCTTTAGTTCAACTGAAACAGGTCAGTTTTGGGGAAAAATCTGAAGTTTCACTCTGAGGGAAAAACAAGACTGGGAAGAGAAGGCAAGTAAAAAACTATAAATTACTTACTGAACATTTCAAATTTGAGCACATGAGCTCACAGTCCAACACGAGATTCTGTGAATCAAAGAGAATGTCCAAGGCCTACAGCTAAATCAACACAACTTCCAAGGAAACTGGCAAGATAGGACTGCAAATTCATAAAGCAAGTCTCTTCAAGACTGTATTTAAAAAAACTGTTGTGGAGCTATGATCACACTTGCAGATGGTCTGCAAGTAAAAACAGCATTACCATTAAAAAAACCATCAGAATCAGTGATTATTGACTCATGATGGTTGACTAGAAATTGGAAGCCTTGGTTCTAAATTTAGAAGAAGAATTTTTTAGACTCGTATCTTGATGGAGTAAAAATTCTCACTCATGATCTGACCAGGGAGACGCTAAAGTCTGTGGTAAGAGTTCTCTCCAGTGACCATTAAGAACATTTTGTTCCAATGAAATGAGAAAGTATTATCTGAAAGAGCAGCTCTTGCCAACCAAAATCAGTTTATTGCAGATCAAGATACCACAAACAAACACAGTCCAGAAAGTGATGGAGAAACTTTAATCAGCTTCTGAAGAAAACTGTCTGCCTTAAATCCCAGCAAGCCTAAGGAAACCATTCCTGTCAGTTAAGCAGCTCGATTTTCCTTTTGTGCCTGTAACATTTCTTAAAATAGAACTCTGAGAAAATATATCAGTAATACTAGCAACATATTAGGCCACATAAAAAATGCATTTATTCATCGTTTTGAGCCCTCTGCTCAACTGCACCTCATGGTAGTATAATGTGTCCCCAGCTGACCAAAGGCAAGGAATCTGGAAGAATACTATTGTGTCCTTCTTCATACCTATTAATTACTTCCAACTGTATGACGTGCATGGTCTTAAGAGATTTTGTATAGAATATTACAGAATTCAAGTATCATGCTTTTCAGGATGGTTGTGCATAGAACTTGAAGAAATATTGGTCCTACTTCAAACACTTACTATGTATCAGCTTGAAATGGAAGATTAATAACCTCTGGGTTAACTTGATTGCCTCTATCAAAGTATTCTTGTCACTAGGTTACAGAAGTACCGACAATTTGCTACATATATACTCTGCACTAGTTATACTAGAGGAATAAATATTTTCAGACAACAGGAAAAAACCAACAATAGTACTACTATCTTAGTAATCTTAATTACTAATAAAGCTTTACTCTGCTCAAGCGCTGAGGAGCACAGTAATATTGGTTTATGTCCCTCTTAATTGTACAATCATTCAATGGCAATGTCTTAATACATCAAGACCAATTTTACAGTATTTTTCAATTTCTAATCTAAGTTATTCCACTGGCAAAGAAGATGTGCTGCCTGCACTATCTCTTATATGTGTGTTCAAAAGCAGTGACAACATGTACAATAAAAAAAATCAAGCTGACTTCCCTAAAGATGGTCTCAACTTGAAAATCTAACTAGAAATAACCTCAGGTGACATTTACAGTTTTCTGGTCCAGAAACGGGGTAATGTGGTAATAATTGTCTGCTGCTGTATGATACAAGACTTTTTAGAGATCTTATAGCAAGCTTTACCAATATGAGGGACTGCATTCTACAGGAGATTTTCTCTGTCATGAAGCAGCAGATTGCAGTAAGAACAATACACTAATTCTGCATCATTAGCACATCATTTCTCACGTCACTTATAGACTGACAAATTTACTGACGTCCAGAATGCTGGTAAAAAATAATCAATGATTTCCATAAAAAATCAAGACAAACCAAAAAAAACCCCTGCAATGTAATACTGCTAATTCATTGCACTGTTCATTCATTGGAATAAAGTGTTAAAAATAATAGTATTAATTCATAGCAATTTTTTGATGTACATGATTTTTATTTTTTTTTCTGTTAGAAAAAATTATCCTGGACATTGAGCAATGGCTTACAGCTCTTTATCTATATTGTCAAAGGAACATTCTACCTCTGCCTGAGCAGAATCCTAACAGACTGTCCTTCACTGTGATTTTATGTCAAAAGGACTTCAACAGTTACCAAGCTGGCATGAGTTACTTCTAAGTTTCATATATCAATAACCTCTGAGCCTTTTTGCTGTGACACTGCTCATTTTATGCCCATGAGATGTATGCCAGCTGTTTCCATAGAAACAACAACAGTCACCTCAGTTGAGGGAGCTGAATAAGACAAGAATTTGGAAGTCTTACTTTCAAGGCAGGCATTATACTTCTAGCACTACTATCTATGAAAGTCAGTTTCTGTTTTAGAAAGCTTCTAAGAAGTCTGTATTTCAACAGTCGTGTGCTCAGCCTACTTTATGCAACACAAAGCTCCCAGGTAATCATAAATCTAGCAATGTTTATTCATAGTGATATTCTGCAAAGCTCCTTGAACATCACAGGGAAAAAGAAAAATCTGACACATCTGATACAAAATCCTGCTGAAACCTTAAACTTTGTTCCAGGCTCCTGTCAGGCTGAGTTCTTCCCATCTCACTTACTTCCACTTCACCAATGTAAATCTTAAACTCCATTTCCAGAAATGTGTTATATGTCACTCAAACATACCCTCCTTACAATCTCACAGCAAGCAGAGGAGTACTTAGTTTAGAATAAAGCCTACCCAACACAACAAATTGTCAGTGTTAACTAAGCTAACCTGGATACCAGAAAAATAAAGCCATATTAGCACAGCTCTTCAACAGGGCTAGTTCACACCACTGTGCTTTTAAACATGACACTCTTCCTTCTTGACTACTGTAGGAGCACCCAAACTAGAGAACAGAGAAACAGCACTTGGGTATTGTGGCACACAGACACACTCTTTAGTTCAATGGCCAGAATTTCATCCACAAGAGCTTTCTGCAAAGGAAGTAACTGTCCTTCTTTAAAAAGCTTCTCTACAACAGAGCAGGGTGGGGTGGGGAGATGATGCCAGAATCTAATGTACTTACTCTCAAAGCACTCATAGTCTTCATGGACTAAGACACATCTTTTGGCATTTTTATTGCATTACATATTCCAGAAATTTTGGCATATATAACACAAACATATTTAATGGGATTTTCTTAACAGATTAATGAGTTACATTTTTTGATCAGATTAGTACCTGTGCCATAAAAATGCTGATCATCCACTCCATCTGCACATCTTGTCCATCACAACATATATACCTTAAACACAATACGTAATTAACATGAAAAACAATGGAGACTCCTGTTAAACATATTAAAGAAAAAGTTTCCAAACTATTTCAAATAGTGCTTACATTCATTTATGCTCTCTATTATTAACACTCCCAGAAAAAATAGGCATATATAAATACTTCAAATTATCACTTCACCTACTTTGAAGACAATGCCTGTGTTTCATTTTAAGTACACGCACAGGATTAAAATCTATCATTCTAACTTTATGACTATTGTTTGCTCTCTGGTCACAGAAGGAAGCCAGACACCTAAACCCAACAGATGAACCAAATACATCAATTAAGAAGGTTTCTTTACTTAAAAAACAAAAATAAAATTAAACACAAAAATAAAAATAAAAGCAAAATAATGCCCACTAGTTTTCAAACACTCTTATTTTGCAATTGAGTATTTCAACAAATAAGTTAACAGTGAAGTTAAACTAAGTGTCCGTTTCATGTTTACCTACCACTGGTGTTTTTCAGAAAACACTGCAAGTCCCCAGCTGAAAGAAAGAAGATTTTCAAAAATTAGTTCCATATTCCTCAAACTGCAGAGATTAATTGCCTTTATATAGTCCTTTTAATTTGAAAAAAAATAAAATTAAGTTGCAAACTCTAAACGTGTACTGCAAATTCAGAATAAAGTGTTAGGTTTGAGGATGGATTTTGCTCATTTTCTCACAATTGATTCACAGTTAATGAACTTTCTGTTCTAGACAAAGGGTTATAGCAAAGGACTGCAGATGACAGCTGACTACATGCCTCATTTTTGCTGTGGCTATGCTTTCTAATAGGTGCTGGAAATAAACTGAAGATACCTGGCATCACATGACTTTATAGGAATTTAATAATTGCTAGGGAAAAGGGAGTGGGTGCACAATGAAGTCTCTGAGGCGAAACAAGCAGACACTTCTGGAGATCCAGAAAAGTAAGCTCTGCTTTTGAAAGCAGACTAAAAATAAACCTCAAGGTAAAAAAAGACCTGCAAAGACTCATTTACATAATCTTTTTACTCATACTTTGGACTAATCTCCTACTCATTCTGCACTTGAATTAAAAAAAAAAAAAACTTTGCAAAAAAGCCACCAATGTTTTCTTTAACGTGGCTAAGCTTTGAAATTCACCAATCTTTTTGGGGTGTTTTGATTTGCCAACTGTAAAGGAAAAGTTCAAGCAGATCTGTTTAAAGGCTACAGCCAACCTAGACTCCCTCTGGGATAAGATCCTATGTGCATTGTCTCAGTATCTCAAAGCTTTGACCGAACAAGAACTGGAAACATCTGAGAAAAACAGGTGTCATTTTTCACTGCTCTTTTCCTGAGAGATAGTTACTGATGTTTGTAAAGGGCACTGTAGTCTTCAGCTAACAGAAACATCAAAATAACAAAGATCCTGAAAAAGGAAAATCCTCTGCTGAGCAAAAGGAACTGCCAGTAAGGGCCATGACTAGCTGGTTTTCTCTTCTCTCTTTTTACCTGGTGCCAGGCAAGTGTGTCCACCAATGACATGCAGGACATATACCACAAAACAAAGTGAGCTAGGAGTGACCACATCCAGAAGAGATAATAAATGCACTTTAGATTACGAAAAGCCAATCAATAAAGTAATTTCCTAGCACAGATTAGTTAACATGGAACATGAAAACAGATACAGAAACAGAACAAATAATATTACATGGGTTAATTTAATTCAGCATACTGCTGTAGACTTCTTGACTCTTCCTTGTTCCACAATGTTCTATGCTACGCTTTACTGATGATACTACAACACTTTTTAACACAGTGTTTATTTTCTTTTCTATCCTTACTTTGTTGGTGGCTTCATTTTCCTTTTCACTCCAAGATAAAGCTTCAGAGAATTGACAGGCAACACTTTTTCAGGTTTGCTAGCCTGCAAATAAAGTAAAATTCTAATTATTGTATCAGGAATGTGCCAGAGAGAAAATGCCACATGACCGATTTCACAGTTCAGTTTCTCTCCTGGAGTGCACCCCCATTTTCTAGCAGGTCATTAAAATATTTTGTCTCTTTCTTTTCCATTAAAAAAGTGTACCAATCACTGTTACAGGAAGCTGACTGATTAAGAACTTAAGGTTCACATGAAATCACAAAAGTGTAACATAATTACAATAATTAACATGTAGTGCTATATATGAATACAAACTCTTGAAGAGAGACAAGACGACAGGAAATGGCATCGCCCTCTCTTAAATAACCTCTTCTATGGAATGGTGAGGATTTTCTTGAGATCAGAGTTTGGGTTGGAAGGGGAAAGATCATCTAGTTCCAACCCCCCTGCCATGAACAGGAACATCTTTCACTAGACCAGGCTGCTCAGAGCCCCATCCAGTCTGGCCTTGAACACTTCCAGTGATAGGGTAACCACAGTTTTTCTGGGCAACCTGTTCCAGTGCTTCACCACCCTCACAATGAAGATTTTTTCCTAATATCCAATCTAAACCTATTCTCAGCTTGAAGGCATTCCCTGTTGTCCTGTTGCATTACACTCTTCTAAAACATCCCTTTCTATCTTTCTTCTAGGCTCCTTTCAGGTACTAGAAGGCCACAAACAGGTCTCTTTTCCAGGCTGAAAAACCCAGAGGCTGAACAAACCCAGTTCTCTCAGCCTGCCTTCATAGATAAGGTGCTCCACCCCTCCAATCGACCTGCCAGCCTCCCTTGGACTCGCTCCAGCAGGTCCCTGCCCTTCCTGTGCTGGGACCCCAGAGCTGGTGCAGCCCTGCAGGTGGGGTCTCAGCAGAGCAGAGCAGAGGGACAGAATCCCCTCCCTGGCCCTGCTGCCCACGGTGCTCTGGATGCAGCCCAGGACACGTTTGGCTCTCTGGGCTGTGAGTGTCCATGGCTGGGTCATGTTCAACTTCTCAGCCAGCAGCACTCTGAGTCCTTCTTGGCAGGGCTGCTCTTGACCTGCTTATCCCCCAGTGTTGATATCATGAGCTGACCCAAACAAGGTGCAACACCTTGTACTTAATCTTGTTAAACCTTCTCAGATTCCCTAGAGCTTACTTCTCACGCTTGTCCAGGCCCTTCTGGATGGCATCCTGTCCCCCATGTGTACCAACCACACCCCCCTCTTGGTGTTAATCTGCAAATCTGCTGAAGATGCCCTCAACCCCTCTTTCTGTGTCATTAATGAATACATTAAGTAGCACCAGTCCCAGTAAGGAATTCTGAGGGACACCACACATCACTGATGTCCATTAGGACTCTGAGCCATTGATCACTACCCTCTGGATGTGACCATCCAACCACTTTCTTATTCATCTAACCGTACACTCATCAGTTCTATCCCTCTCCAATTTAGAGAAAAGAATATTGTGAGGCACTGTGTCAAAGGCCATATGTAATTTCAGATAAATGGCACCTGCAACTCTTCCTCTGTCCACTGACATAGTCAACTCATCATAAAAAGCCACTAGGTTGGTCAGGCAGGACTTGCCCTTGGTGAAGCTGTGCTGACTGACTCAAACCTACAATCCATGGTTTAGCTTCATCCATTAGGTCACTGGGGCCGCTAAATCAGAATGAAAAAAAAAGCAAATGATGTCTTCGAACAACCCACAGAAGTCGCTGGATATCATATCCTGACTCTTGTGGGACAGGGGATGGGGAGGGCAGGGCTTTGTTCTTCCTGGTATCTTCAGAAAGGGCAGTTCACTAAGACAGAAGAAACCCACCTAGGTTCTGGAGAACACCAGTATTAGGACTTTCAGAGGAACCTATACAGGATAAAGAAATGGGACAATAGGGATCTCATTAAATTTAACAATGATAGATCCAAACTCCTGCACAGGTGAAGGAAAACCCCCTTCAGTGACAGAGAGTGGGAGGCAGGTCTGCTGATAGGGACCTGAGTATGCTGGTAGGTGCCAAGTGCCAAGGTGCCAAGCAAAGCTGGTCTCATTTTCCTGAGTTAGCAGAAGCACCGTGGGTAGATGAAGAGTGATTCTCCTCCTTTCTTCATTACATGTCTGATTGTTATCTTTTGGGTCCTTGAGAGAAAAGAAGAGCCAGTCATCTGGAGAGGGTTCAGCAGGAGCCCACCAAGCCATCTGGGGGCTGGAGAACTCGCCCTGGAGGAGAGGCTGACCTAACAGCAGCCTCTCAGCGCCTACAGGGAAGTTAGGAAGCAGACCAAGTGAGGCTTTTTATGTTGTGAGAAGACTACCTCTAAGGACAGGCAAACTTTCCCCCATGAGGACAGTCAGGTACTGCAACAGGCTGCCCAGAAAGGTTGTGCAATCTCTCCTCGGGGTTTTCGAGGACTTTAACTGATTAAAGCCATGAACAACATGTCCTGACCTCAGCAGCTATCCCTGCTGTGCACAGGAAGTTGGACAAGGATCTCCTGAGGTTCCTTGCTTGCTCCTTCTTGAACAAACTACCTTTAGTCAATCTACAGCAGACATACACTCACAGTAGGTATGAGAACTGAATGTGACTGGAAGATGAAGTGCTGAAAGGAAACAATAAATGCACACTATTACAGAGAAAAGCCAATATTTAACACAACACAAAAGCATTCCTTTCGTACTTTTAGGTCAAGTGTTTTAGCTTTCAATTTAGAAAAAAATACACCAAAGAACAAATCTTATAGTCCCAGTACACAAAGCTACTCCCTAATGTTTACTGTCCCTGGATTCTCAATTTCCCATTCTGCAGCTTTCAATTTCTAACACTCCAGTGTGGGGAAAAATAGACACTTAAGAGAACTTAAGAAAACAACAAAACACACAACAGTTTTATGGTTGGTATTCTTGTGTAACTTCCTGCTCAAAAGAAGGGTACTGTCAGGATGAAAAAATACCCCTGCAGAACATACTATTAAGTTAAACAACTGCATACTTCTCACAATAATGCACCTTAAGGGAGCCATTTCTCTGTCTGTGAACTTATCTCTTAGCAAAAGAACATTACAGAGGTAAATTATTTCACTCAATTAGCACAATATACTAATTTAGCATACAGTATTCATGGGAACTTTCAATGTTTTTGATAATTGCTCTTGAACAAGAGAAACACTGAACAGAATGTATCTCCACCTGCATATACAAAGTTAATTTGCTGTTAATGAGAATTTATAAATTAATTAGTACATGTGGTCTTATTAACTACAATTTTCCATCTGCAATGTCATGCTTTCCTACTATTCATTTCTAAATATGACTAAAATTAAACCAAGATTATTCATGATAGATTAATATCTCTCAAAAGAAAGTAAAAAAACCCTCATATACTATTTGATCAAAATGGTATTGCCATTTGCATTATAAAAAAAAAGTAAAGCCATTGAAAAATAAGTGTTCAAAGCACCTACTGAGTTGGGGAATTCAATGTTTTATAAATTAGAATGGATTAAAAAGGAGATTATAAAGTGGTATAACAATCCTGTCATAAATTCTTTCCAAGATACTAATTAAGGTTTTATGGGCATATTAATTTATTCTCACATATGTGCCAATCTGAGTTTTAGCACTAAATTATAAGACACTATTTTTGACATTCTGAGGTCACTCTAATTAAGATTGTATCCACAACTTCATAAGAAGACACAGTACATTAGCTGACGTGAGCAAGGGATACATCTTAAAAAATCTACTTTAGGAAGGTCAGTAATATACATCTGTATTTCATGGATGGGAAAAAAACCAGCAGTCAGCAAAAATAAAAGCACTTGAAACTTCATCTTCATTGTTTTGGGTTTTTTTTGAACCTGAAATTATTGGTACTAAAATGAAAACACAGTTCATGATTGATATTTTTTGGCTTTATACTTAAATACAAGCTGCATACACTCAAACCCACTGTTTTAAGAAAACTGCCATGAAATATTTAAAATTGAACCCTTCCTGCTATTAATCATGACTAAATTCACTTCTATGCAATTCTGAGGTATATCTAACGTAATTATCAGTACTAGTTTTTAGAGGGTTGAGAATAAATATGAACCAAGAAAAGAATGGCATGCACTCATTTCAGTTCCATATTACTTCTGCTGCAGCTCTCTACAGCAGGTTTCAAATAATTTAGTGTCAGCACAAAGCACGCAAATATTGTTCTATGTTTAATTTTTAAAGCTTACAGAAATGCGCAACTACAATAGCTAATTGACAAACACACACAAACTCCTTCTACTAATGCAACTGTGAAACAGCGAAAGTCTTGTATGTCAACCCCAGATTCTAGAAGTTGCCCTTTAATATGAGAAATGTTATCTGTTGGCCTTCCTTTTTCATGCAAAAAAGAAAGCTTAATGCAAAGCTTGTTGGAGAGTTTGTCTGCTGTACCTTCATATCCTTATAAAGAAGCAAGTTTCCTTCCCGTAACACAAAGTAACGGTCTTGAAATTTGTTTCCAGACAGTAGTTTTGATGGCTCTTCCTTGTACTTCAGATTGCCTGCTTTCACACTACCTTTCTCATTTTTTTCTAGAAAAAAAGGCATTTTGTTAGAAGTTTTTACAACAGTGGAAGCTCCTAGCTTTTAAGTATTATTACATATCAAAACCTAAAATTATATTGGTAAAATTGATTCATTATTATTCTATATATATATAAATAAATATATTAGTTATATATGTATAAACACACACATATGTATACGCTATATATTACATTTCAATAAATTTTGAGTACTAATATATTCTATATTGATAAGGAGGTTATTCTCACATATACATGTCATTATTGTTTTAATTATTGGTGGGAAAAAAGTCTTCTCTGTTTCACTTCTATGATAACATGCAAAGAATCTACCAACAAACTTTAATTCAAAGAATGTTTTCATGTAATGAAATGCATGTAATGTGCAGTTATATCCAAGAGTATGACATGGATACTTTTAATCTGTGTGCTTAAGTGAAGCAAAACATTTCAATAAAGATCTGATTTTATCATGAGTCTGTCTGGGTTTTTCTGTTTGTGTTAAAATACACATGAACTCACATATATTTCATTTTCATAAAACTCAAAAAAATTACCACCTCCCACACAAAACTCAAACAGTAACTTTGGAGTAAGCTTATAGAACATTTAATTTTGTACTGAGAAAGTTTTTATTTGAAATAGAAAAATACCAGAGCTATCAAAGGCTTTCAGTGTTAAAGATCAGATTTCTCAGTGCAGTCTCAGCAATTTAAAATCCTAAATAAAATCATGCAAAGAAGTATTATTGGTACATATAAACTACTGCACCACTACTTCAAATTATTTTTAGGTTTCCTATTCTGCTCAATATATTTAAAATAAAAAAATAATAAAAAAATAAAAATAAAAAATCTATTTTTTCACTAATTTATCAGCTTTTCCTAGTAAGTACCCTTCCCCAGCAAAAACTTCTGAACACTAATTACAGTCATTGCCATGCTGCCACAACTCAGGCATATAAACTGAAACTCAAACTAAAACGGCACTTTCATAGTTAAACTAAGGAAGAGCAAAGGAAAAGACAATAATTCCTATTCTCTTTGTGACAGAAGACAGAATTCAGCAGAATTCTGATGTATTCTTTTCGCCCTGAGGTAAATAGTGCTGGAAGCAGACTGTGGCTATGAGAAGAGAGCAGGTAGGCAGATGCAGCCTTCTCCTCCATTCTACTGAATACCATTTTACCTTGAAGAGGAAGCCAGATTCATAGGGCTAATAATTCCTTTATCCCCAGACATTACTACTTATGCTGTATGTTTGCTTTTACCACCTATTATTTTTAGCTAAGTGTAGGTACTTCCTTTAAATCATTCATTTATTTAGGAAATACTGAACCAACTTGCTCAGGAGCCACAGAATGACACCACTAGCTCTTATACCATATTAGTTTCAGGATAAGAAATAAAACTGTGATGTAAAAGTGATGTACTGAAATATGGTGTAACGAAAATCTCATCCTTACCCAAGTACTCAATTGGTTTCTATCATTAAAGCTCCACTTAGACTGAGCATCCAACATCAAAACACTATTATTAGGAAGCAGCACATGATAAAATATCAAAAACTAAGAATCTAAATCCAGAATCAATACATTTCAACAATTAAAATCAGAAATTACTTAGAAGTCCTCAGTTATAAGTGCAAATATGCATGCACAGTCAAAAAAAATTGATGTATTCTCTTTTTGCTTATAATAATATTTATTTCATGTTCAGAACAGAATATGAATCCTTATCCACACAATTATAAGCACTTTTTTCTTTTTTTTTCGTTTTTTAAAAAACTATACCAAATGAAGTAGCAGAGTACTTAATGAGAGTAGCAGGATATTTCCACATCTGTACCAAGCTAGAAGATTTTAAATTTCTGCACACAGCTTGCAACACGACAAAAACTCATTCTAAACTTCACAGCACTCCTATGGCAGCGAATCTGTCAAACACTTGATACTTACAAAGATACTAGAATAGCCTGAAGTAGGAAAAAAATAATTCTCTAAACTGATGATATTCCATATACTTTAGAAGCTAGCATCTCATTAAGCAAACCTAAAACAATAAGATGTGTCCTAATCAGAACATATTTTTCAGACACAAACTTTTCAAAACATGCTAAACTTGCTCAAACTTTGCAACTAGGAAGTAAGTACACTTAATCCATGCAGGATTGATCCACCTATGGTTTAGAAGCTTGCATTTCAAAGAATATCTCTGAATAACAGCTCCTGTTCTCAGAAATCAATACTTACCACTTAAATTATACAACACTGTGCTGGAAAAATTTCAAGGACCTATATACACAGACCTTAAAGTAAACTTTAACAAATAAATAATATTTGGTTTTCTAAAAAATACAACTTTAATATGAGATTTTTTTTTAGGTAACAAGAAGAAAAAGGGTCTTGAAATAGAATTAAGCTGTCCTGAGTATCCCTTATACCAAAATACAGTGCACACATTGCCCTGCTGAACAGCCCTTGAAAGAGTGCTCCTACAACAAGTATGAAAAGCTATGGAATAAATTGTCAGGAACAAGTAGCTGAAGAGCTGGAATAAAGTAGAAAATTCACCATAAATTTGCTGAAACGTATCAATACAAATAAACTCTTTTTCCTTGAAAAGGAAAGTTGGTTTCTATACAAGAGAGAACACACATCTAGACCTCAGTACAAGGTTTGGATTATAGAATCACAGAATGGTCTGAGTTGGAAGAGACCCACCAGAATTACAGAGTCCAACTCCTGGGTGAATGCCCCACACAGGGAATAAAAACTCACAACCTTGGTGTTATTAGCACCCTGCTCTAAACAGCTGAGCTCAGATGCAGAACATGAGAAAATATTTTAAAATGGACGAGAATAAGTCTAAAAATTAGGAATATATTACATACAAAGAACATGGGAAAAGTTGCACTGACAGAGAAGACTGTGCTAAATTGCCAAAATGAAATGAGGCTAAAAGAGATGTTCCTCAGGCTCACTATTGAAACAACATTATTTCAAACAACATTATACACTCAGGAAGAAAAAGGAGAAAAGTTATGAGAATGAAAATCTCTCAGGTAATATTAACAGAAAAAAATATTCAGGAATATAATAGTCTTTAGGATTATTACATAAATCAGGGAACCAAGGAATACCCATGGCATTAAATTATAAACGTCATATGATCACAGTTCTATTAAATTTACTGGAAAGTAGGAGGACATGCATTCACCCAGTTGCCCATTTGTATGGGCTGAATCCACTCTTAAAAAAAAAAACTTCACACCATAGCGGTTGGACATCTGGCCTCAGCCCTATTTTTCAGTGACAAGGAGTTACCCACATGCAGAGCGTAAAAGACAGAAAAGATTGAGGTCTCCTGTTCTTCCTTCAAGCTTGCAGTTATTTCTCATGTACTTTGAGATGGAGAGCCTCACCATAACCGTAAATGCCTTGTACCCAAGACACTGGGAACATCCCTTCCCCAATGACTTCAGTCTGTGTATTTTCTCATTCTGACACTATGTAGTGATGGATTCACAAGATTACTCTGCCATGTGGAGTTTTCAGACATGAACACTATAAGTCTGAAACATGGTAGAAATTTTCCTTTTCAAACCACTGAGAAAACAAATATAATTTATTTGATAAGGTTTTAATTATTTTAAACATAAAAAGCCTCAATAAACAGTCAAAAGACCATGTGTCTCTACTAAGATCAAGCTGAATGGAACTGATGCAAAAAATTACTGTGATAGGCTGGGAGAACAAATGGATGTAAAATCTAGGAGACAGGAAGGAGTACAAATAGCAGCAGATCTCTCCTTCATTACATTTTGTAAACTGACACTAGTCTAATCCTTATGTGTTTCTTAGAGCAGTGATTCACACAATCCTTATGACCCATTCCCTTTTCTGATTATATCTCAACATACTCCTAGTGAGGTGATGGGAGTTCATATATCAAGCTTTTAATGAAGTAGGCCATTTCTCTCCATTCATGATCTGCTATCACACATTTACTGACAGTGAAACCTAACCATAAAAGTCATGAACAGCACACTTGTTCAGGTTCGTTCACATTTGTGAAATATGCTTTCACAGAAATAAAGCATGGTGGAAGAAGGCCATTACTTTCAGAAGAGTTAAGTACAATAGCGTAAATTTTACTTCTTGAAGTCAAGACAAGATATATAGAATGGAAAGACTAACATTTCGATGTATGAGAAAGAGACAAAAAGATAGATATATTTGAATGCGTCATTAGATAAAATAAGATGAACATTAAACCAGGCATCCTGTGTTACTATCACACATTATACACTGATAGCACACAGGATTTCAACTGCTTGAAAACAGGATATAATTTCTGAACTCCTAAATTCCCACTTCGCACAAAGCAGATAAAACATATTATATAGGAGACTTAAAGCCAGGTATTATGTGGAGGAAAAAAACCAAAACAGATCAACTGGGGCAATGTGTAAACCATATATTTTGACTATACACTTGATCTATATTTTAAGTGACAGCTCCCTTTTAAAGATATACCCTCCAAATTATTCAGTTGCTTGAGTATGTAATTCAAATGAATATGTCACCTGGGATACAGCAACCCTGGGCATACAGACAGACTGGGGACTGAGATCCTGAAAAGCAGTGCCACGGTAAGGGACCTGGGGTTCTGGTCCATGACAAGCTGAACATGAGTCAGCAGTGCCCTGGCAACCAGGAGGGCCAAACGTGTCCTGGGGGGCATCAGGTCCAGCATGGCCAGCCAGGCAAGGGAGGGGATTGTCCTGCTCTGCCCTGAGCTGGGGCAGCCTCATCTTGAATATTGTGTGCAGTTTTGGGTGCCACAGTGTAAGAAGGATCTGAAGCTGTTAGAGAGTGTCCAAAGGAGGGCAACAAAGATGGTGAAGGGCCTTGAGGGGAAGCCCTCAAGTGTAAGGAGCGGCTGAGGTCACTTGGTTTGTTCAGCTTGGAGGAGACTGAAGGGAGACCTCATTGCAGTCAAAAACTTCCTTGTGAGGGGAGTCAGAGGGGCAAACATTGATCTTTTCTTTGAGGTGACCAGTGTCAGGATAACAGTATGGTCTGAAGCTGTATAAGGGAAGTTTAGGTTGGATATCAGGAAAGATTCCCCCAGGGGGTGGTTGGGCACTGGAACACCTCCCCAGGGCAGTGGTCACAGCACCAGCCTGAGAGTTCAAGAAGCAACTCTCTCAGGCACGTGGCATTGTCCAGTGTAAGGCAAGGAGCTGGACTTTGATGATCCTTCTGGGTCCCTTCCAACTCCTCAGAATATTCTGTGATGGATTCTGTGAAATTTGCTTCGTAATTTGGAGGCATCAAATTAGATAATTAGTATACCATAGCTATATAAATATACTTAAACAATATGTCTTAGATAAGAGCAGTTTCAAGCTTCATAGAGTGTGAACTGACTGCAGAATTTCTGTACACTTTCATATTTCAATGGGAGAGGTTATAGTTTGTAGAAACAAACATCCATAATCTCTGTGTTTTTATAGGGAGTCACCACAACCCTCTGTAAATCTGTAATTTTTATGAAGTAGCAGTAATTTAGTTGTTCTGGGACACGTTGTTCCACTGAAAATAATTGCTACCCTTGTTTTTCCATACAAAATAACTAAGTAAAAAAAAAATAAAATTACATACCACTGTAGAGATTCACCATGTCTGCTGTTAGAAATCTCTTTATTATTAGATATGCAGTGCCAGGCTCTGGTAATGAACTCCAGTGAAGAACTTGTTCTAGTACATTCTCTGTATAATGCAGAGGACGTTCTGAAAAATGCCAAAAAACAACACACAAAAAACTAGAATTAAAACAAAAGAGAAAACCCAACAATTTTGGAGGCCCTCAGAAGTTACATTTGCCTGTATACAACAAGGTCTCATTGACTTTGAGCTATAGAAGAAAAATACTGCTTCAAAATAAGACAACTAGGCACTTCATTGACAGTACCTTTGCTGGCAGTGCTTGCACAGGTAATGAATATAAAATTAAACACTCAATAGCCAAATTTTCAGTGACTCTTTCACACTGCTTTCACACTAAATACAAAAGCTAGGACCTATTACAGGGCATGCTTAATATGATCAAACAGAACTGAGGTCTTCAGCTATACTGTGCCTTACTGACCCATGCTCAATACAAAAATGAAACATCATAGCTACCAATTCTCTGCAATCAAAGAACCAAAGAATTTGCAGTGATCACAGTGAAAAAAAATGCCTCCAACTGGTATGGATTATACTGTGTGTTATTGATCAAAGCAGACTGAAACAGACTCCTGGTTTCATTAGATTCTTTTTACTAGAGAGAAAAAACACATGGTCTTACTAGGTCTTCTCCCTGTTGCTGTGGTTAGGGAATATCCAAACTTCCACCTGTGTATTTCAATCTTGTACAAAAAGTCCAGGAAGCTTAAACTGACACTGAAGGCATGACTAGACTGCATGTGTGCCCTTCAAATCTTCAGATGCTCAAACAAAGTTTTTGATAGGCATCATCCGTCCTAGAAGAGAAACTCTGAGACCTAGCACAGAATTGAAAAACTGCAGTGATAAGAAAGCCCAACCAGTATTCCATACAAACCCCAGTTCACCTACCAAATGAAGGCAGAAAAGATCTTGCAAATAGTCCCTAAATCTGCATTACCAGATCCATCAGTAATCTGGGTGTCACGTGAACAGCACAGCCTGACACAACACTGATATAAGTGGGGGAAGACACATCCCTGAAGGCTTTCACCTGCTCAGCAGCAAGCACCTGCTGTAATTCATGAACCCACAAAAACCTTAACAATGGCTTTGTGGATTCAAGTGTCATTTTATCTCCAAAGATATTTTTACAAAATATCTGTGTTCCCATTTGCACACCAATTTATGTGGGTCAGGCCTTGAGAAGAGCTGGGTATGGCTCCAGAAAAGCTGCACCTCTGTGACACTGTCATGTTGGGTCACACAGTCTAGCCATGCCCCTTGAGTACTGAAGGGCAAAGTATGCAGCCATAATCTCATTTTTCATTCCTGCTATGGTAGATGAATATGAAATGTCAACAGCTGCTTTGGGACGCTCCAGCACTACGGGCTAGCAGAACGTATTTTTTAGAACACCTGAACACTAGAGCCTCAAAGAGCAGCAGCCACAAATAATGCACTTAAGTGACAGAAAAAAACACCCTATTTCAGGATGCAAAACTACCTATGCTACCTGTAGAGCTGTGATACTACCTATCAAAAGGTTTCATTATTCAGACATAACACTAAAGCAGCCTAACAAGAATACCATTTTGTAAATAGCAGCTCAACCCCTACTTTATTAACACCACTTCTTCTGGCCCTTTTGTTTTAAATGGTCAAACTCCTAAATTTTTGGGGAGCTGTGGACTCTGATGTGATAAAACTTAAATAATTGATGCCTTTGTACAAGAGAGAAAATCCACTTTAAGGAGAAGAACTTTACAAATCAAAGGCAGGAGACTGGTAAATCACCACATCTTCCTAGAACACCAGCACTCCCACAGTAAACACCTACTGTTTTATTTATAGTTACATTTAAGACCATCTGTCATCATGGATTACATGGTACATAAATCATCATGCTGAAAACCATTAGCTATTTTACTGGTAACACACCTCATTTACAAACTATCCATCAATCACATATTACTAAAAAAAAATATAGAAACCCCCTATTTTGTAAAAGCATATGGTATTAAATATTCTGCATTAGGTTTGATAAAATCATCAATTATTGCAACTTTTCTACATGCAAATAATTTAGCTGATTTTTTAATATTGCAGTTCTAGTATTTTGAACAGCAAGCAGTCAACACATGCATTCAATTACCCTTTCCTTCACTTAGGTCATCAAATGCTAGTAAATATCCTAAACCAGTCATTTTCACCTTAAACATTAACTATTAGCAGAAAATCACTTTCTAGAAAATGTGATTCTAATTTTCTTGCTTTCTTAGGGGTTGTTTTTCTGACAGTGCATATTAAAAAGTAAAATAAAAACTTAAAAAGTAAGAAAATTCAGGGTTGAGTGTAACAAGCAGAATACCACCAGACACATGTAGCAGACTGCAGCAGGAAAAAAAGCAGAAAATTAATTTTTATCAGAAAGACACTGTGATTACTGATGTACATTTGAAACAAATGTGCAAATGTTTTTCTGCCATTATGTGTCACCATCTCAATTAATTTGCAAATGCCTCAGATGGTGTTTGTCAAATGACACTAGTAAAATCAACTTGCAGTAGTGAAGACTCAAGTAGTATTTTAGCTCTTCAGTGTCACATTTGGACCAAAGACATTATAGAACTAATTTTCTTTGTGTTCCCACCCTCTGCAAACCTGTTAGGTTCAGTCATAGGATCACAGGAGTCTACCTGAGTGTCTCCTTACTACATTATTTTTATTTTGAAACAGTAATTCATTTGTTCTGATGCACTGATTATTCCAGAAAGGGATCAATGAAGAAGACATTTTATCAACACAGTCTCTCTTGAGAGAAGTCAGGTGATGAATTAGGACTTAATTTAGTTTGGTTTTTCATTGGTAGTTTTGGATTTAAAACACTGGTGTGCAATTTCAACTTTGTGTTGGAAACTCCTCTTTCAGCAGGATGCACTCTAATATCCTGCCCATATTTATGGTGTAATGTTATTGTGTTAGGGCCTCTGGTGTCTCACTCTTAGCTTTATTTTGTCCTCTACAGTCATTAGCTCAGACATTTCAATGCCCCACTAAAATACTAGTTGTTGCACCTAAATACCTCAAGAAGTTGTTGTGGGGTCTATCTGTTAATTTACTTTTATGTTCTCTTGCCTATATCTGGTTTACTTTTCATGTTCCTGTAAGCCTCATATATCAACTTTAAGAAAATAAAATTCAATTTTTTTCCATTATTCAGTCTAAAGAAATATGATTTGTACTGCACTTGTAGGAATTATCAGGACTCTTTCCAAAGATAACAGATGCTAACATTCTTTGTCAGTTGTCACCCACATCTATGAATCTGCAAAGGAACTCTGTATTACAATTCTATACAGCATCACCAACTCTAAGACGTGAAGAGGACACAAGATAATTTATTTTGAGTTGAAAGGGAGAATACACTTCCATTCTAATTTTTTATATTGCCAGGCTCAAGACTGAGTACATAAGTAATATTAGTAAAATTGAAGGAATCATTCTAAGCACATCTTAAAATGAAGTACAACGAAACTAATAAAAATTATTAGACCAATGTTTAGTAATCTTATTTTGTCCACTTTCTTATTTTTTTCTTGACTTGAAAATAGGTATCTTCACTATGGAAATAAATAAGTCCACAGTCCTCCTCTGTAACATGAGAATAGTTAAGAGCAGCAGCTTACTAGGGAATGGAAACAGATGTTGCATATTTCTGTCCCCATATATTCTTAGAAAAATCCTTAAGATTACCTTAAGGAATATTCATCCAAATTTGTTTTAATTAAAAAAAAAACCCTACTACTTTATTTTAGGTATCTCTAAAAATATAATTCTCCAGCATTTTAAACATGCTCCAGCATATATAAAGTATTCACAATGTTAAAACCTCCTTACCATTCATGAATATTGTCGCCATGTGACATTTGCTTTTGTTGGCAGCAGAACCATATTTCAAACAAATTTTTCAAGATTCTGCTAGATACACCATAATGCCACTTGCCAAAAATACACATTAAAGTATGTAAAGAATTACGTGCTTTATGCCTTTTTTCACCTATGTACATAAATTATTTGAATAAACCAAATACAAAAGATCCTAAGCCTAACATGTATTTTCTCATTTAACTTTTTGAAAAGCATTATTGTTTATAAAATCAAGTGCTGACATTCTTACGAAAATAGGATTTTCTTCTAAGACTTATTAGTAAGACCTACTTTTCTATAGCTGACGATTAATGAACTGCAAAACAGTGTAATATAAAGAAGATCTTCTCAGCTCCTAATTTATAAGCAGTTTACAACAATTCATCACGTCATACCTGGCAAAGTGAAGAAAGAAATCATGCAGGTGCCATAACAACCAAATGTAAAACATTGGCATGAAGGCTATTTCTTTCCTTGTTTCCATAAAGTCTTTAAAGCTTTTGATGCCATTAAAAGTATTGAAAAAATAAAATAATAAAAGCTAATTGACATGCATAAATTTAAGTGTCACTAACCTAATTCTCCATTTTCAAGTACTTCAAAAGCAGCCCAGATATCATCTTTGCTGGGAATAATGTTTTTGATTCCTAAAACATCATTAGTTAATTCTTCTGCTTCCATCAAAGGTGATACCTGTAATATAAATTGAGTCAGTTTATAATATATTTCAATTACTGATTTCTGATTTAATTTTTTCAAAGTCTTCCTCCCTGCAATTGCCCTAAGGAAAAATCAAAAAAACCCCAAAAAAACCTGAAAAACCCCACAAACAAAAACAAACAAACAAAAGCAGCAAATATATGAGCTGGAAACCCATAACATATCTGTCAGGTTCCAACAGGCTTTCCTTATTTTGTTCCATGAGATTGAAGTTATATTTGTAAGAATGTGGTTAACTTGGTAGCATGAAATTCCTTTTCTGTACCCCAGAAAAATCTGGAAAAAGGAAAAGCTTTGATATATTTTCTTGGGTGTGGGAAGATAAATATTAGAGAAGCACCATTTTTTTGTATCTTAGCGATGCATATTCCCATTTTATTCCTATTTTAAAAAGCATGTCTTATGTGCACATGTCTATCTATGTATACCACATACACCATAGATGTACAAACAAAAGTGTTTGAGAGTCATGTGCTGAAGAGAAAAAAAGGAAACAAAACCAGAGAGGTCTAATGAAAAATAACAGAGCACTACTACTGGAGATGCAGGTGTTTAAATACACTATTAAACAGAAAGCTCAAAAATCTCCACAATAGCAACAATCTTTGGTTTCTTAATACTTAAAGAAAGAAGAAAGCCACAGACAAAAAGAAAAGAGGAATGTTATTTTACTGGCTTGAGCTATCAAATAAACTCAACATTCATTGTGACCTTGATAACGCTTGTGTTGCACATGTAGAGTTGGGAGAATTTATACTGCTGAATACTACAGTAAAGCTAAAGCAGGATATCTCAGCTTCAAAACTGTATCATTTTTCTTAAAATTTTTCTTAAAAATGTGTAAATAATCACTCTTTACATCATTCAGGCAACACTGAAAATTCTAAAACAAAATACTTAAAAGAATAATGATAAACATAAATTCATACTTTCATTGTTTTCTTATATAAAACCATGTATTAAAATAAATCTGATACACTTCAAGAAAAAGATCTTCATAAAATTACTGTATCATTTTTATACACTAACCCTGATTATAATACTACAGTCTGGCTCCTTTCTTTCCACATAAACTTCAATAAGTAAATCTCCAGCCTGGGAAACCTAAAAAGAAAAAATTAAAGAAAAAAAAATTGTTAAAAATTAACCTTTCAAATAAGGAAAGTACAATTATTTAACTAGTGTAAGGGAAAAAATACCAATTCACAGATTCAGGAGAAAAATCCAAACCCTGAGTAAATCCAACAGAATAATATCAAACAAAATTAACATTCATTTACAAATATACATTCAAAAGCAGAAAAACTAGGCAATGTGGTGTAAGTGGAAATTTTGAATTTACATTTAAGATTAAGCCTAAGACATGAGTGTATATTAGTATCTTAAACTGCCAGAACCCTAACTCTGATCTGGAGGTTAGTCAGGCTCGCTTCAGAATCAAAACAGATGAACAGAATTGAAAAGAATGAAAATTTACTGTAAACCAAAATGATTTAGTTAGAAGTGAGATGAAAAATTAGATAGAAAAGACTATTTCAGCCACATAGCTATATGCACATATTAAGAAAATAAAAATTCATTACTACAAATACTGTATTTATGATTCTTAATCACAATGAAAACTTGTCATTACCTAATTATGGAAGGAATTAAAACAAATTCTCTTGATATCAACCTCTGTTAAATATAGTTCTTCAAATTTGTTGGAGAGAAGGTTAGATTTCACACTCAATGCTTATGTGGAATAATCAGATAAAGCAAATTTATGACATATATAATAGTTTCATATACGCAATACTAACAAATGTTATTTAAGAATGTCTAACAACATAAAACTCAGAAAGAAATTAGAAAGACGATAAATCAAACATTTGATGATCATGAGGAAAATTATGATTTATGAGAAGGGATGTAATATTTTCCATTGTAACTAGGTTTCCTCATCTATGGCAATAAAATTATCTTCAAGGATGAGAAATCACTGTATTTTTCTAAAGTTAAAAATGTCTCACATTTTGCCTACTCTAATTCTCTTTTAGTATAGTCATAAGCATCTTCAGAAGATTGCAATTCATCTCAATCCACTACCATAAAATATTTCCTAAAAAATAAGTGAATATCAGAGCATAGGAAGAAAAATAAAGGCAGAAACAGGGACCTATCAGAAGGTGTACCATTCTATTATAGGCAAATATAAAGAACTAATAATCAAATTAACACTAAGATAACGATTTGTGTCTTCATTTTCAAGAATGGTATTGATAGTGATGCCACTTATTTATGCATTACTACAAACAGAGAAAAAGATTAAGAAAAGTATATAGAAACATATATATATATTTATATATATATATATATATACACACATATCTATAAGCAGTTGAGCTTTGGGATACATATTGACCAATTTACAGAAGCTAAGACTACATTTCTATAGAAAAATAACTGGCAGTGCTGAATTTTAAAGAACATTAACATTCTGAAAAACAGCAACTTTTAAGTTAGTTTAGCCTTTGAGAATAGAAAATTAATGGAAACATTTGTGAGGAAAAACATTACAAAGCTACTTTGAAGAAAGCTGCTTAATTATAGTGGCACAGACTCAAAAAAGCTCATTTAGTTATAAAATTTGCTTTTCAGATGATATTACAGAAAAAGGTTGGAAATAAGAATGAAGCTGACACATGATTTCCACTGGGCTCATATAAACAACCGTATGGAGAGAAAATGTGATGTAAATTACTGCAACAGCTGGCATAAGTATATGGTGGTCAGAAAATGAAAAGCGACTAATGAAGTGCCACCTGGACTTCAGTGACATTTCAGACATGTGAACTTTGAGTAATCCAGTTTCAGAGAAATTCAGTTCAGTCATTCTCTGAACATTTTGCATCACCAGAGATAAAAGTACTGTGGTAACCTATATATTCCAAAGTATTAAGTACCTACATCACTGATTTTCCCACATATATGCACACATGCTGGTTCCAACGATGTCAGACTATCAGTTGTTAAATGTAAAGAATTCTTACAATTCTTAATTGTAGCTGCTTGAGGCCTAAGTTGCCAATTACCCATGATGCTTACATGATTACAGTGCTGCTGTCAGATCACTCAACTGCACCACATCATTACTTTTAACTGTAACTGGAAGCCTGTGGAAAACTGCTGTGGAGAGCTGATGAGGGTGGTTGAGCAAGAACATGAGCTGAGCCACTTTATTTCGCACCTGGTTCAAACATGACTTAGCAGGTGTGCAGTGCCTGGGTGATGCTGTCTCAGTGATGAACAAAGAGCACCCACACACCTAAGTACTGAGATGTTTAGGCCTCACTCCCTTTTATCCATGCCTAACTGAACACTTACCTGAGTGTCCTTCCACCTTGTAATAAAACTGTTCTCTATATCCATTTGTTTGACTTGGTCTTCATTTATCTGTATAAATAAATAAGTTTGGAGTGATTAATAATAATTATTCTAACAACTGCCAAAACTGCCAATCAATCATGTTCTCATAGAAGCAGGTATACAAAATATTCTGTAAGTCAGAAACAGCTCTTCATTGATGGGACTCATTATTATAAACTTCATGGAATACATAATGAAACAGAGAGGAATAAATGAAAAACTGTAAAACAATGTTATATTGGCAGCCAACTCCAAATCAAAATGGCTAACATGAGTTGTTGCTAGTAATAGCTTTCCAATCCAATTGGATTTAACATTATTTCTGGGTTTAAGGAACAAAACAAATTGTAACCACAGCTCAGAGACTAACACAAAATCTTTCCATGCTCCAGTTCTGATCAGGCCCATAAAATTTGATTAGAAGCATTATTTTTAATAGTAATAATCATAAAATTTTCTTAAATTTTGTAAGCTTTTAAGGGCAAGGAGAACGAGCATCATTTTGGAAAACCGTAGCTCACAGCATCCCTTAAACAGTCCTTCCTACACAGGTTAAACTGATTGGGAAATAAAATTTAAAACAGGCCAAGAAAAGCATCCACTGAATTAGAGTTCAAAAACCCCCTGTAAATCTTCAGATTTTTGAACTGGTAGGAAGAACATTTTAAAGCAGTTAGGATACATATAAAGATACCTACATGAAAAAGTTGCACATAATTTTTAATTAGATCTTCAATTACATTGACTTCTTCACTAGTTTGGCCTTTAGTTTGAAATAAGCATGAGGAAAACGCCATGGCTAAATTGTGAGGGTTCATTTGGTTAATTTCAGAACACTTCTGCACCCTGTTGAAGGAAAAATAAACATCTTTAGATGGTTTCATTGTTCCTTTGATTGTCTGAGGCTCCTTTTCAGAATATAGAGAGCACTTCTAAAAAAGGTAAAAACATTAAACGCAATGAAAACAGATACTATTATTTATTTAATACCTCTTTATACTCTTTGCTTCTCATTACAGAAATGAAAACTTCCTAACTTCATTTAAAGTGATATCAAAACTCTTTAGAATAGAAAACCATAAAAACCAGAATAACGTACTGGAGTTAGAAGGGACCTATAACGATCATCTATTCCAACTGCTGGATCACCTAAGGGCTGACCAAAAGCTAAAGCATATTGCTAAGGGCACTGTCCAACAGCACTGACAGGCTTGGGTCATCCACCATCCCTCTAAGAAGCCTGCTACAATGTTTGACCACCCTTCTAGTAAGGAAATATGATGACTTGGTACTGCCCTGCATGCAGTTTTGAACCACTTTCAGGCACCCTAGCACCGGATACCAGGGAGAAGAGATTCTTCCTCCCTCCCTCTCCCCTTCCCCTCCTCAGGAAGCCATAAAGAGCAATGAGGTCACCACTCAGCCTCCGTTTCCCTGAAGTAGAAAAGCCCAGAGTCCTCAGCCACTCCCCGGATGGAATTCCAGCCCTTTCACCAGCATTGCTGCCTTCCTCTGGATGCATTCAAACACCTTAATGTCCTTTAACTGCAGACCCCAGAACTGCACACAGTGCTCCAGGTGAGGCCAAACCACTGCTAAATACAGTTTCACTATACTAAGCAATGTAAGTATTGCCTACAAACTTGAGATCAAAGATCAAATAAAATGTGGAAATAAATTAGGTCCTCCTTAGTTCTAGCCCTATAGTAATACTTTCATATCAGTTCTGTTGTTCACATAACATGTCCTCTTTTAGAGGCAAACACTTAAAACTACCACAAAATTTTGGCTGTTAAATGCATGAATTCATATTACTTTCAGAACAGATGCAATACTTTATCAATATCTCTACCTAGATATGCTTAGAAACTTCTCAGACACAATATGTAGCACAATCTTTATCCAAATAATGGCACCAATCATGTAAATATTTCTGAATGACATCTGCTATGTACCTGGCTATGTAACATAATTTCTAAACACACCATCCTATAAAGAGAAGTTTCTGCACATTCTATAGTCACTGCAATTCACCAAAAATAAAATTTAACTTGTTCAATAGATGATATAATATAGACCAGTACTATTTAACCATGATAAAATCAGAATCATCATCACATATTTTTTACACATCTTCTGCCCCTTATTTTATCTAGGAATAAGCTATGACCTTTGGTGCTTAAACAAGTTTGCATTTTGGATATTCTCTACCACTACATTAGTTGTAAAATGAAGCACTTATGAAAAACAGAAAAGGTAGGTAATTCTCAAAGTTATTATGTGCAAAACAGATTGTGGAGAAGGACATTTTTACTGAAAAAAATATTTTAATTTCAAGAATCATTTGCAACAATCCTCTGGAAGACTAGCAGACTGGAGTAAAATGAAATTGCATAAAGAAGCTACATCAAAAATTACCCTACTTGGACACATACACTGGCAGCCCTCTCTCCCTGTAAGACTGTTCCAATCCATTGATTTTTATAGATACCTACTGCTAAAAATACAAGCAAAGAAAAAACACACTATCAATTAAAGGAATTCAAATTTAATTAATTGCTGCAACTAGATAAGCTTTTGTGATTACTAGTTAATGAAACAAGCCACGTTTCATATACTGTGGAGTTATACTTAGAACACATTATAAAAATTTCTCTGCCACAATGCATTATTTGCAATGACCTGTAAAGATGTTCAATTAAAGCAGCCAAAGTTGCTCTATTGACTGGTGGAAGACTCCGAATAAAAGCTGTGTACTTCCTCACACGTTCCTTTTCATTCTGCGTATCTGCCAGAAAATAATCATTGAGCATTAATAACAATGCACACTAAAACCAACAGCAGTTCTCATTAACTATATCTGCATCATCTAGTCTTTTAAAATTACTATTTACCAAATCAAGTAATTGTGTCTTCTTCATAAAGGCAATGGTGACAATATACTATTGAAAAAGTCTATTATTGTACACCAGTTCAGGGACAGTTAAAGAGGGACAATTCTATATCCAAGCACCATTTGCCACTGCTTAAGACTAAAGCCCAGAACAGCAATTGCATTTTCTCTCAAAGTATACTTAATCTGTAGTTTGTGTGTGTACACGTGTGAGTGCAACTACATATGCACAAGTGCAAACGTACTTCTAAGAGTTCCCAGCAATGAGAAAAGAAAATACCTTTTCATATTTTAAATATTTACTGGAAAAGTGTCAGAAGGCACAAAGCAGTTTAAGGATGTGAGTATATATAAGACTGATAAGAGGAAAGAAAGGGGAAAGGGCTGGTAGATAAGTTGTACCAAGTTACATAGAGCTGAACAATGGCAGTGCTGAAGGCAAGAATTCCAGTTTTGGGAATGACAATAGCTGAAACAACCTGTATCTTAAGTCTGTCTCCCTGTGCTGCTTATTCCCCTTTATGCTCAGCGCATAAAAAAATTAATGTAGGTTGTATTTAGACAGTTAGCTTTTCCCTCTCAGTTCCTGCTTCTCTCAAGTTTCTGAAAAGCAAGCACAGAACTCTTCTCGCTGATTGATGGTACTCTCCACTAACTACTGACTATGTTTTGGTTTCTTTGGTAATTGGAAGAAAAAATAAATAACAAAACAACAGTTTAAAGGTTTTCTACTCTATTTCCTTAAATGTTTTAGTCTTCCTAGAAGTACCTTCTGTATCACTTAACAGGACAGGATTCTCTGTTGTAAAGATGAAGTAGAATTTTAGCCACATTTACATATCAGGAAGGGGAATCACTGTAACACCGGTCAAAAGAGCTGACTTAAATCTAAAGTGGCTCAGAACTTTTTCTGGTTTCTGGTGAGATTAATCATGTGGTAAGTGAATAAACTCTTAATATTTTTTCCTCTAGTTTTTGAAATTGAGTTTGAAGGTCAAAAATGTATACTATTGATAATATTTTAATTTCCTGAAAGTCTAGTGGCTCATATTAAAGCAACATCCATATATTTGAACTTAAATAAAATCAGAGAAGAATATGCTTTTAATATCTTTCTTTAAAGACAAAATGTGCCACACAGTAAACATGTCTGTGTGACTCCTATGCATTAAGATAGAAATTAATGTTCTGTAAGCATTTCCCATGTATCTCTTACTGTTGTACCTCCAATTTTATAGCACAGCTTGGGAAACCACCTTCTTTCTTGCAGCTTGCAAATACAGCAATATAGAAACTAATATTTTAAAAGGACATTATGAAAATTGTCTCTGATTAACATGCATCTATTACAGCCATGTCCCTAGTATTTTTTTTCCTATGTTGTTTTGCTAGTTATGAAATAACATAGGTTGACCCCTCAAATTCGATACTGAAAAGGTACATATAACCCTTATTGTATTGAATGTTATTCAATACATTACCTAATGCAGAGATCCAGAATGGATAAAGTTCTTTAGTGAGAAGTGCATCATCTATTTGAGAAAGAAAACTTTTCAGTACATCAGTCACATCTTCAAGCTGATGTTTTCCTGCTCTTAGCTTAACACTTCTTGCATCTTTTTTGAAGCTTTCCAGCAGTTCAGCCACACTGGAAGAATCACCATTCTTAAGATAGATTTGCTTGCTACCTAAACCTATGGCACAAAAATACAGGAGAGAAAAATAAATGAATGCAAAATTAAGCATTCTTTTAAAAATTCCAGACATCATTATATGAAAATTATATGTGACTGCCAAACATGTAGTATTTCCTAAAAAAATCTTTCTCATCTTTTACACATGCTCACTTTGTTAGTAAAACACTGCCAAGTCTTCTTACAACCAACTAGATCCCTTTGCAAAAATAATCATTATAATAGTAAGCAAACCTGGGATCACTATTTCAAGAATATTTTACAGGCATTTCAAATCCCCAAATCTCTTCAGGACTTCCTAAAACAGTACTTTCAAATGGCACAGTAAAGAGAAGTTTCGATGATAGATATTATATTACACATAAAACATAGCTGCTTTCATGAGAAAACTCCTGTTTATTGCTCTACAGATGAACTCAGTTTAAGACTTGAAGTATTACTGCATTCATCCAACCTGAAATATCTGATTCTTAAAAACCTCAAGATTAGTAGAAAATACCCTTTCTTCTCATTTTTCTCACGTTCTGGAAGACAATCGGTCAGGTACTATTCTTATATGTAAAAACAAAAACCACTGAAGTCAACTTAAAAAGAAAATGTATCATTTTAAAACAAAGTCATGACTACCTTCAATCACTGCATATGTTATTGTGGTTGAAACTGTTTTTTAAAACTTGAGTAAGTTTGGCACAATACTCAGTGCTATTTATCCCTGTAGAGGTGATTTCCTAATTTGCATATCTAGAAAGGGGATGCTACTTTATGCAAAACCCTGCTTTTCTTGTATACTTGTCAAATTAAATACTCTCTCAACATCTGTGAAATCATGTCTAATGTTTTTACAGTTCACCTTTCCTGTAATGCCCACAAGCACTTCCATTTGCAATGGCCATTGTGGTGCTACTGTCAGGAACAGCCCTGGACAGCAAGAGCATCTGTCTTCTGCAGACTACAGCTGAAGACAGAATCCTTACAATGATGATAAAAAAGATGCAAGTAATGCATACAAATAATTCCTTCAGCTTTCAACTGAGCATTTTAACAGCTACTACTGCTGATCCTGAAAAGCAAATTTATGATAAAGATTTAAGTGATTTAAAAGACATTAGGAAACTGAATTTTAATTCAGACTACACAAATTGTTCTAAGTGGAAGACAGAATTGCCCTGCTTTAACCATTCAGTGAATGAAATGCTGTAAACTATACTTGGAATAATTGCTATTGCTAATGATTGAAAAGAACTTAGCAAAAGCCTTTTTTTCTTACTTTTAGTCACTAGGTGAAACCCGATACAACTCTTTACAATAACACAGTGTTGCCATATCCAAAGGTTATTTAGTTAAACTTCAACAACTCCAACAGAAATTAGGTGCTCTCATACTGACAGAGGTTACAGACCCATTTATACCAAAGACAGATTTTTACAGGGTTGATATGCATGTAGCAATCTCACAAGGAAACTCATGAATTTGCAGCAGTAAAAGGACACAAACATCATCTGCATATAACCTAATGTCACAGAAAGTTATGCTGGCAAAATTTACTTAAATAAATGGTAACCAACTATATCCTTAGGTTATTTCACTGAAAAAACAGCAGCCTAAGACTGAAGTCAACTCCACAGCCAGTGCCAGCTTCCAAGATGTGTTCAGACCACAGCTTTTCCAGGTCTGCAGAGTTTGATTTCTAGGCTGAATTGTCTTCACTAGGGCAGTGGATACCAAGGCTGAGTTTCATAAGGCAAACAACACAATATTTAAAATAGAAAAGTGTCTATAGAAGGCATTTACAAAGTTGTATTTCCCCAAACTGGCCATTCTAACGTGTGGTAGTGTACTGCACCATCTCATTAAAGAATGGCAAGGCTAATGACGGGCATGGTTTTATTTTAAGTAATATATAAACTCATTCAATAGGATCTGGGGGCACTTAGGTATTATACAAATGCTCTTAGCTTGAATAAAATCCACTCTACTTACCATACTGTGTAACAAACGCTATGCAGCTGTTCACTATAATAGGAACATCATTTTTGCTGAGCTGCTGATCTTGTAATGCATTACCATCTGTACCTGCTGCTTTTTCAATTGCAGTATACCAGACCATGAAATCCAGCTTTGTATGGCCATGGAGGTATAGCGTTCTGAAAAGTATAAAAATATTTTGAGTTTGGGAAATAAATAAAAAAATGATGTTATTGTTCCATGGCAACAAAGCAGATGTTCAGAAAGAAAAAAAAAATATACTTGGAGTAAGTCATCAAGGTACCTTTCACCACATAAAGCTGTGATGGTGGTCTATTGTTACATTTTATTTTTTTTTTCCAAATTCATTTGTATTACCAGTGCCATAAAAAAAATGAAAGAAGATCCACAAACACTGTCACAAGCCTTTGAAAGAACCTGCCAACATTTTAATTACTCTTCTTCAGCTCCTACATTATTCATATGTCCAAGCCATGGCTAAGGACGAAACAAATTTAGAGACAACTTTCAACGCTGCAAAAAGCTTTCCCTTCTTTTGTATTCACACCCCTAAACACCCCCTACACCCAACAACCTCTTCTATAGAGTAGCTGAGACATACTGAACTTTACTCCTGCATAAGTAGCAGAATGATCCCCCACTATCACAAAGCTAAGGAACACACATGAGAAAGCCACTAGTAGAGTCAGAGTAAGTTAATGCAAGACTCTGCCTGTATGTGAAAGCACAGCCTTTTTCTGACTCTTTTATTTAAGCATGCTGCAGTAATCTCCTGTGTGCCACCCTGACAAGCTAGCTTCTAACAGAAAATACCAAAATTCAGAAGTTTAAAGGGGTATGTCCAAACATATGCATGTGTGTAACAAACAACTGTTTAAAGTGTTAAAATAGTAAGCAAACTTACACATATGTTCGCTTCTCTCCCACTAAAGACCTGTAAGGGATCAATTTTCTTTAATAACCATTTATTTGCTCATTAGGAAAAGTCAGAATGCTCTACTGAACTTCTTCTATAAAAACAGTTTAATCAAAACAGAAATTACCTTTTTTTTTATTTTGATTATTTCATTTTTGGAAGGGGAAAGCATTTTATATGATGAGGGAATATTTAATTTATTTTTCTTTGTATCTTTCAATTTTGCTTTTATAAATGCTTCCTTTCTAGCATTCCTATCTGAGTAGGAAGTGGGGATGCAGTAAATATATTACATACACACAGCCAGGATCTGAAATCTTCTCGAGATCCACCATACGGACAGAGCCATTCAGCAGCAGAGTAAATGGCACTAAAATTCACTATTTCATCCTACTGAACCACATTCTTAGGAAGTCTTTATGACTTCAAAAGTCATGGTAACTACCAAACATGCCTGAATAGTGGAAACACAGCCTCTCTTCCACTAAGAAAAAAAATAGTAATTTGCATAAAGCTCTCCTATTTTTGCAGCAAAATGAGTGAGTTTAATTCAATGCTGTCAAAAGTTTCCTTAAGTCTTGTCAAAACAGGTAGTTCTCAATCAATGCATTCCCAAGAATACATCACCACATTTTCTGGTATAGCTATTGCCATACATATATAAGGAAAGTAAAATTTTGAAGTGAGTAGAAACAAATTTGACAGCGCATGATACTCTACTTGTTTCCTACTATTATTCACAGATCAGAAGAGGTTAAGACAATGATTTATGAAAGATTTATGGTGCTTTCCAACACAAGAATTGTACATATATATGCACATTACTGTGTGTTTATCTCCCCTGAAGAACAGCAGGATTCACATTATGGTATTATGCAAAAGGATAAATAGAAGACTCAACAGATTATTTTTTATCCAAAGAATTACAAGAAATACAGGAAGCAACATACTGTAAAGTGAAAATATTATTATTTCTAAACAAGAAAAGGGCAACTCTGCTGCATATCAATGAATTGATACCAGAGGAGGAGAGAAAAAATACCGTACTGTACTTCAAAGGTCATATAAACTTATCAGCATTTTTCATAGAGATACGAAAGTCTAAATCATGTGCCTGTCAATCAATATTGTGATACATGAAATACCTAAACTATGTGGAAAAGATCACCTTGTATTTTATGGATCTTTCCATCCTCGCCTCAATGCATCACATTAGAAAAAAAGATATCAAAAGTACAAAGTGATTATGTTCTCATTGTTTTCTAAAATTTGAGAAGCTGTTGAGCTTAATTCAGCTAGAGAAGAAGAGGCTACTTAATAATTAGCAAAGAAAATGTGGTATTTGTTTCAGTTGTAGTCCCAAATGACCAACACAGTCGTGAAAGAAATGTTGCTGGTAAGAAATATAAATGTGAAAATCTTACTGCAATGATGGAACCTGGATTGTTCATTAATGGCAACAAATTATTTTTAAAATAATTATTCTTGCCCAGTCAAAAATCTCCAGAGTGGCGGCATCAAGAAGTAAGATAAATCAGAGACACATTTTCAGTACAATACCACAGAAGTGAAGGAGGGAGAAAAGGAAATTAAACCAGTGCCAAACATATTTCAGAACTCAGTCAATTTCTCATGAAAGAGGCTTAAAAAGCTAATCTCAAACCTCAATAATTTTTGACTGAGACAGTACACACCTGGAATAAATTGTAATCAGAAAACCATAAAACAGTTTAAAAATAAGATGTTTAAAGCAGTCCTTCTCAGTTTAGTCCTTTTGGACAAACTTAAAAACTTCTTTTTCTTCCACCTAGTTGGAAATTATTTTTTTCTCCTTGAACCTGAAAATAATGAAAAGGAAAGGGGAAATAACTTCCAGCAGGAGAGCTGAGCTTTCTTCAAGCATAGTAGAAGTCTTCTACAGAACTTCAAGAAGCAATGGAGATAACCTTGCAGATTTACCCTCTGTGTTCACCTCTTTCACACAGTTTTCAGACAGAATTAATAACAAATACATGCATTTCTCACTGAACAGTCATTATCAAAATATAAAGTTAAATTAAATCCAAGGTTTAAGCATAAACACAGGCTGAAACATAGTGATGTCCCACATAGCACAAAACTAAGGCATTTAATGAGCTTGTAGAAGTAATCATGTTTGAAATAATTTTTACTATAATGTTTATGAAGATCTTCCATGCAGATTACCAACTGTTTTCCACAGACTCAAGCAAAATGCATTTCTTCAATACAAATGCACTGCCTTCTATAGTATGTTTATGTATGTGCTATTTTTTTCAGTTCTAAAAATTGATAAAGATCTCACATTTCATAACAAACTGTTAGCAATAGTGACAACATAGTGAAAAATGGCAGAATTTTTGCTATGTTGTGTGAAGCACATACAGTCCATAGCCAAGAAATTAATAATTTAAGTACTCAAACAAACAAGGCAGCCTGCCAACATAGATTTCTGCCTTAGTGAATTGAGAGAATTGAATTGGCACAACTGACTGCAGCAGATCAATGTGTCTCAACATTAAGGGAGCTACTGTTACCTATACAGCTTTATTGCTGACTACCAGCACATCCTTCTGCCCCTGCAGTCAAACAAACATACCTGACCAAACTTCATCCACAAGAATGCAAAGGTTTCTCTTTAACCCCTCCTGAAAAATCCCCTGGCTTTAGCTATGTCTAAAAGGTTTGTTGCACAAAATGGGAAAAGCAGAGGTATGAGGTGATTTTGGGTAAGGTGGGCGGGGAGAGTGAGAAACAGACATCGGCACAACTCAGTGCCCTCTGGCAATTCCCACATGATTCTAATAATTTACCTGTCTGAAAACAGAGGTACTAAGAATGCAAATAGAGATATGGAATTATTGTGGAAAATCAAACTGCAACTGAAGCATGGATGTTCCATTAAAAATTACTGTTAAATGTAACTGAGCAGTACTTCTTCAAGGGACCTTCCAAAAGGTCTTACACCCAGCATAACATATTGGAAGCACGAGTCTTTTCATCTGACTCTTAAGCTTATATTAATTCTGGATTTTAGAATTTTGTGCCCATAACTGCATTTTATGAGAAAACTTACTGCTATCATCAAAGGGTTAAGAAGAAAGCAGTGAATGAACCATCAGCCTAAATAAATTTTGCCAGTATGTAGGGAAAGTTTATTATCCATAATAAGAAAGAGCTAACTATATCAGAAGCATAATGGGAAAAAAAGCACCATCTGGATTACATTATGGTCTGAAAACATTCACTGACACTTAAGAGAGAGGTTAAATTATTTCAGAAAAATAAAATAAATGTTTGTATTATCTGCACAACTGTTTCTTTAAAACACAGCATTAGAGATTTGGCATTAAATTCTATATATAAAAGGCATATTTAAACTACTGTATACAGATGTTTTCAGACAACTTTCTTCTTTTCATCAGATCCCTCTGTTAACCTCTGTTGAACTACACAGGAGTAGCTGTTTCACCAATATGCTGTGTAACTTCTGTTTGGATAGCAACAGGAGGTCAAGTATCACCAGTCACTTCAAGCATTTTAAAAATAGAAATCAATGGAAAAAATCCAAACTGAATATAGATCACATCAGAGGACAGCCCTGTGCGATGAAGGGAAGCCTCAAACACAAAAAACCTTAAAATGGTTTGCCACTTCTAGCAAGAAGTCAAGAAGCGTTTCAATTACAAAACTAGAATATTTCTACTATGAAAGTGGAAATCAAGAAGAAGCAAATGACCATGATTAGGGTGTAAAGCTATACAGCACAGTGTTGTGAGAACATTTCCAGTTGAGTTGGATATAGTTGTAGCAGTCTAGACAATATGCTCCTGTAGAGACCAAAATGTAACAAAATTCCAGCAGGTGTTAAAAAACGAGTGTGTTCTGTAACTGACTCTAGCAAAGATACACAAACACAAGCATTAACATGTCTGAGATCTGAAAAAAAAATAAAATTTGAAAGTCATCTAGAGTTGTTGTGAAAATTTACGATGAGCTTCAAAACATTAAATACACTGAGTTTCAAAAAAGACAGCAATCTTTAAAAGAGAAGCAGTCTTGTGGTTTCAGAAATCTTTTAGTGTGGTTCAGCCTCTGATAATATGCTTGGTATGACTGCCACCTCTTATTTCTGAGCTGATAGACATCATAAGCTGAACATATCATATAGAGAATAAATGAACAGCAAGGTGCCAAGCAGAGATCAGGGTAAAGAAAGAGGGGGCAAAAAAAGAAGAGGTAGGAGTGGATTGTATTATTATCTAAGACATTTCAGGAAAATCTTACATGTCTTTTTTTTTTGTATTGTCTCTGTATTCTTGTACTTTATACAAGCTAGAAAGTATTATAAATATTACATATCCAAAATCAATTGTAAGTTCTTTTCCTGAGCAGATATGTATCAGATTAATGTTAAATTTTTTTATCCCAAATTTATTATGTTTTTAAGAATCAAGAATTCATAGATTTATTACATTGTAATAATTTCAGCAGGAAGACCTGAAGTTTTTATAGTTTCCAAAAATGTTTACTTGCATATGCAATCATTCATAAGTGAGATGTCCATTTGTAACAACTGAAGTCACTCTTTTTCCTCCAGTAATTAAACAGAAAGTTGTGAAAGAGAAAGATACGTGCAACATGTAAATGTGAGACTTTCCCTAATTAATCAGCCCAAAGACTGAGACTTGAAAAAGTAGCATAAGTATTTCTAAGAAACAGAAAATCAGTAGAAAAATACCTCAAGGAATTTTCATATTTTCCAATAAAATTTAAGCAGACACTTTAAGACACTGACCAAATTTATTTTTTTATGTAAAGGAGGGTGGCTGGTTTTGGTTTTGTTTATGGTCATTGCGCTGTTTTTTTCTCGTAAACTTTTCCTAATTCTGTAAAAATCTTACTTAGTTAATTTAATTCTTTCAATACTACTTTTTTATTTATTTTGTAATTTATCCTGAATTTAAGTGCCTAACAAATTAACAAGAAAGTCATCATCTCCATAGAGTCTCTTCCAAGTGATCAATCTGTGCCAAAGCTGACATGAGACAAGCACAGATAGAAAATAACAGACATAATAGGAAAACCTAGAAACTTTGACATTTCATGTAGTTGATGCTGATGACATCTCAAGGACATTAATTTATCTGGAGCTTGGAGGAGCACAAAGAGGATTAGTGGCTTTACTTCCAATTAAAACAATTATGTCTAAAGACAAAGGTGATTTTATATTTAATCATTTTCCACACACATATTAAATTGCTTATCACTTTAAGATGTGATCTCATATAACTGCACTGCACACCTGGACAGTTTTGAAGTAATATCCTAAATAGTAATCACCATGCCAAAGCCGATATACCCATACGGCTTTCAATGTTTAAGAAAATGTGAAGAATATGCATTTAAATTCTTTATAGAAAACTCCAGTGAGGAAAAATTAAATACATTTATGTCCACTTTAAATCAGCCAGTGTCCCTGTTGAAATTCTTTTCAAATAGTTCAGAATTTCCCTTAAACAATTGAAGTGGTTCAGGGAAAAGCTACCCTCACTTAATGGAAATATTACAATGAAATAAAAAATAAACCCTGACTTGGAGCTAAAAGTTTTGCTCAGCATTAATACCTATGAAATTATATGCATGATTTATATCCCTCTTTTAGACTGCACCTTCAACAGGATACCTCAGGTTCCCTGTTTGGTGTACGTAGCTTACCTAACTCTGCATCTTTCATGATGCTTTTTTGAAAAACACCCAAACACAAACCAAAACAAATCAAACCAACAAACAAACAAAAAAAACAAAAAAAAAAATTGAACCACCCCGCCCCCAAAAAATAAAAGAAAAAGTGTTTCCTTCTAACTTGCATAGTATTACTCAGCTCTAAAACTTACACAATATCCTAGAAAGAGTTAAAATTCAGAACACACAAGTTACAATGCATTTCTGACTAGCTACTCCAACTCTGAATATTGTCAAAGGTAGCCATGGGGTTTTTTTTGTTTGCCAAAGAGAAAAACACTCTTCATTTATTAACCTATTATAGGCTTTTCAAAAGACTGTATAAATATTGCATCACTTAAGACAGACTCTTGGACGATAACCTATCATTGAAATAAAAACAAATCCTCAAACTCTTAAAAACTAAGAATTATCTTCCACAATTTTTACTCTCTAAATTCATCTTTGAATTTGTACTCCTATTTGAGACAGAAATACCTACCTCACCTCTAGTTCCAACCTCCCCTATCACTATAAAAATGACACAGTTGTCTCTGCTGAATATTACTTACTTGGAAGCAGATACGGATCATGCTTGTTTTATAAGTATGCTTTTTCCTAGAAAGTATATTGTTAACTGAGATCAGATATTACAAGAAGATTAACCAGAGGACAGGACTAACCAGAGGACTCATTCATGTACTCTTAAACCTGACCTAGGCAGACTGAGACACCAAATTCTGAGACACAAGAATTATTAAAAAATCAAGAAGTTTGTAGGAAATGCTCTGAAGAAGTACTCTTTTTTTACAGGGTAAATGGAGTTAGTCCTTTTGAAGAAATCATTATTGGCAGACTAATCTGGGAATAATTTTCTCAGTGGGAAAACTGTTTTTAATTAAGTAGTGCTTGTTAACATTTCGTGACACAGACATAAAATGTAATTAATGCACAAAGATATTCCCTCCTTTAAAAAGTCTGCAAATTTACTCTCTCACTAGCAACACTAAGTGAAAAAACTCCAGAACTTATCAACTATTATTCTAGAATATTAATATAAAAACAGATCAAAGATTTTCTTCAGATAGGAACCTTACCTTCCTTTTTCAACGAGTAGCAGGACATCTATTCTCTCTCCATTTTGCATCACACTACTGGTTGCTGCAAACGGAACACATACACATTCATATGTCCTTCACAGACATATATTTATAGACAAACACATACATGCATGCACACACAGGCATGTTTTTTTCCAAAATGATCTCCAGTGGCAAAAGGAGCATGAAATTCTTAAATTTTGCAAGTAAAGAATGCTGCTTATAATAGAAACAAAACTCCACGAAATTCCACACCACACTGTCATTTAAAAGAAAAACTAACACAGAACATATCATGAAAGTTTAAACATGTATTTTTCAATGTGAGAACATGCTACAGTGTCTTACTACACTAAACTTGTAAATACAACTTGCAGAAGACACAGTGATTCAGAAGTAAGTTGGATTTTGTAATCCATTAACATTTGCACCTTAATGGCAGCACATATTTACAATTAGATAATGCAAGTTATCTATAAGCATGAAGATTGGTGCCACCCTTCTTTATGCTGCCATATGTTATCCCTGCTAAAAAAAGCACCCCTGTAGAACACCTACACTATGTGTAACACAGCAAATATAGCTGGATAGTTTTCAGTTGCACTGCTTAAAAAACTATACCATGCACTATACTGAAACCAGTAAATTAAATGTAACCTGCTTAGTAATTTGAAATTCTGAAAATTTAATTTCTCAAAGTGCCTGTAATATATAATCCCCACCTTATTTCAACTAATTCCCAGAGAGAGTAAAGTCCTAAATACCAATGAAACACAATAAACACATTGCATGTTGTATGATGTTTTTGTATCACACATACTCCTAGCCTCACCAATATTTACTGAGTCAAATATCAAGAAGGTAAGTTATTATACCTCCACAAATGATTCATTATTTTTCATTTACACTAATCAGTATTAATAGTGGAAAAGATATATTTTGGAGAAAGCAGAAATCAAAGAAAAGAGTATGGATATATAATATTTCCAAGAAATACAACTAATATTAAAAAGCCCAAGCAAAACTGATTCTCAACTGAAAGTCAAAAGTGTTTCAATTTTATACATGAGATACAATATAGACAGATTTTGAATGCTGTAATGATTCTGGAAGAGGCAATTACAGTTGCATCATCTAAACAAGTACCGGGAAAAGTTCTCCTACTGCCTAATCGTTTAATTCTGAATTAGGATCAAAAGTATTCACAAGTTAAATGACACCTGGAGGCATAAAAACATTTCTGATTAAAAACCAACTTCAAGGTGTTATCCACACCAAATATAAGGTGTAAATAAACAGTAGAAAACACAATGGCATTTAGGCAAGATCCTGCAAAACAGTCCATAATCTGTCAGCATTTATGAATAGTATCATCAGTAAAGAGCTGAATTATCTTCTCTATGCTACTTTATTATAAACCTCAAATTATATGTATTTTTCCATGTAGCATATTGCCTTGCTTAATATAAAAACAAGCAGGGCAGATATGCTTAAAAGAGGATTCAGAGCATTATTACAAACAATGATATAAAATTGGTCATAGAAGACCATTTTTACAAATATTCTTATCTCCCCACATCATGGTATTAAGCAAACAAGATTTTTAGCATCCAAAAAAAATCTATTGGTCTGTGAAATAGTTTTCCAAGAGAATTATAATTTTCCAGTATGTTTTGAGTATTTTAAAACTAGACCTGTCAATCATCTCAAGAATGTGTTCTGCAGTGAGTATTTCTGCCCTGTCAAAAATGTGAGACAATAATCCCAAAAGGTTATATATTATTATTCAATTCTCTACTCTTGTAATAAAGATACTGCTGCAACTGGAACAAAAATTGTCATCATTCATTTTAAAGCTGTGAAAAATTTCTATGGCATGTGCCAGAAAGTAGGAAAAAAACCCCAAGACAGAAATTAACCAACTCCATATTTAGATAAGAGTTGGAAAAACATCTGACACATGTGAAGGAATAGTTACAGAGCTTCCCAATATTTATTATTTTGAAATGCAATAGAAATTTCCTTAACAGTGAATTAATCCCACAGAACATTTTCTGAATACTAGATGTTCTTACTAAGTTCTTGCAACCTCCTTAGATATATGGAATCTTCTTCAGCGTCCTCCATTTCAAGACAAAAATAAAGGCTCGACTTCTCTATAGCAAACCAGCCTTTTCTCCACTGATCCAGGTTATGGCAATCTTTGTAGTACAGCTGCCCAATGAGGTCACAGTCTCGCTCTAACAATGATTCAGCCACCGGGGGAACAAAATGCTACCAAAGAAAATGGGGTGAGTCAGATGAAGAAAAAAACCCTCTGCCCCTAAAAAAAAATCAAAATATTGCAAATCTATAGGATTATAGGATACAGGTCACAGTACAGAAAAAAGCTTTGAGATATAAACCCCACACTCATAAACCCAGAGATACACTAAATTTAAAATGTAAAATCAAGTTTAACATTTTTTCCATTCATGCTCCGCAATTCAAACATTTTTGCTTTTAAACTACCATTGATTTAATTAGTAATGTGATTATTAACATTTGGAACAGTATAAAATATGGTATCATTTTATGAAATTCCATTACAGCAAATAGAATTGCACCCATAAAAAACTTAGCTGAAATATATTCATACAGTATATGTCTTTATATTAGAGTACACTTAATATATTCTTAAGGTTGGCATTAAAGTGCTGCTTCAATTCCTTTCACATTTTATTTTATTATCTTGTTTCAAACATTAAATCACAAAAGTTATTTCTTCCTGCTGCACAAGAAACCTTTGCATGCAGGAGAGATCGGTAAGCATCAATAATGACTTCTCAAAGGTTTTCAGCTAACAATGGCACTTTATTATTTGTGCAAGGGCTCCTGGCCTAACTGAAAAAGATAACTATCAGTATTACCTTAGCTATTGCTGAAGTCCATTTTCTTTGTGAATATGCAGTTTCAGCTCCAAATAGAAAAACACGTTCTGACATTAAGTGTATTTCAAATGTAAAGATGTCCCTAAAGCAAGCAAGAGAAGAAACACAGCTGTATTTAGTCTTCAAAAGAGTAGACACACCAGGGTTTTATTTCACTATTGTTTCATTCTTTCATATATACGGAATGGAATCCATCTGCATTTCTCCTCCGTTATTACAAGTACAGCCCAGCTAATAATAAAGCACTTTACAATACAACAGGATCAAATTTGTTTAAAGGCTTCGATGTAATAGTTCCGTTCATAATTCCAAAATGCATAAAAATATTTACATATAGTCATTAAAAATGCATAGGGAATTTTTCGCTTTTGCAAGCTCATGTTATTTGATCACATATACATTTGTGACGCATTCAAAATATATTTTTGTATGTTTAATATAAGCAGAACGACTAGCTGAACGGGAAGCTGCAAACAAGTTGAAATATTGCTTCAAAGGGACTTTTAGATGTCATTTGTTCTAATCTCCTGCTCAAAGAGAGGTTAGCACAATGAGGGGCCTTGAAAACAGTCAAGGATGGACAGTACTATTCTTGTCACCAACCTTTTCCTGCCCTCCACCTGCCCTCTAACTGAAGAGGCTTTTCCTGTCAGACAGCCTGAATCTGCTTGGGTGAAAAGTGTGGTCAGTGTGTATCACCTGCCATCACCAAGATGAGTAGGAATACTTTGAAGTTTCTGTAGCTCAAGAAGCTTTTAAAAGTTTTCTTAACAGACATTCATGGGTTGTTTTTTTTCCTTTTAAAAATTATACCACAATTTAAGCAGATGAACCCTGTTTATTCAATTTTTAATGGAGACAAATAAGGATGGCAAAAGAAGAAAAAGCAAACCAGTTTAAACTGATGTGGAATTTGGAAAGTAAGCATCATGCTGAAGTTAGGGATCGGTCAGTCTTTAACTTAAAAATTATGGTTCACAAATTTATATGTTTTTGTCTGTGACCTCTTGTTAGATGCCAAATAGATGAGTATGCTTTTTCCATTTGATGCTGAAGACTGAGATTGGTCTAAATGTGAAGAACTGAGCACGAGTCATTTATATAATTTTCAGTAACCACTTTGAAAATTATATAAACTTTTAGTTTTGACTAACAGAATAGGCATTTTTAAGGACCAGTTGTTCCACTACATGAAATATCAAATCTAAATGAAATTTCTCATAAAACTCCTCAGTCACAGGTAAAGCACAACAGGAGGTTAGTTATTTCCAAAGAGAGAACATGTTCAGCCAACATGTTTTTAAATGTAGGTATTACCATAAAATGGAACCAGTCAGAAATGCAGCAAGCAATAGGTTAGATTTGAAGACAGAAGGAAAACGTGATTTTTTTCTTTTTTCTGGGCATCACAGAGCTACTACAGAATAGTGAGGGGTCACTTCTCTGTATTTGATAGCATATTGAGACATCACCATGTTACAGGATTTTTCTCCCCTGTAGTAGTCTAAGCCCTCTATTCCTTTTTTTGTTTTTCAGAAGCTTACTAAACAGACTACACTTTCTTTACAGAAAATTTTGTTTTGTAACTAAAAACATTACAGTATTATACTATAGAAAATTATTTTTATTTTAGGTGCATGTTAAAAAAATAAAGTGTTATGGAGTCTGTTAGACAAATACAAAGTAGATTTTAAATAAAAAATGTTGCACTAAAGAAATTGAGTATCACTGTAATATTTAGGTCACTCTCCCTGTGATTTTTTCCATGTACAAATGGGATATGAGAGAGTTCTAAAAGAAAAAACAAGACTCCACAAGAAAAAAAATAAAAGCTGGTTTCCTCCAACTAAAAATGTTCAACAGTTCCAGTGTTGTCCTCAGCTACAGAACAAAGAATGGATTTCAAAGACCAATACCTCTGTGACCAAATCCCGAAGCATTGTACAGAGCTCTAGGCTGCTGCACTGGAAGGAAGAAGCAAATCAAGAATTTTGGCTTGAGGCAGAGGTCAGTCCCAGAAAAAAAGATGAGTATTAACGATTCAATTTATCATCATATAACCTTTCAAGCACTGAGCATATGCATTACAGATTTAATAAGAAACAGATGTATCTAATTTAAACTGCCCTTTTAAATTACCCTAATATTTTCATTCTATAACTATAAAAAAAATATCCCTAAATATCACATAGCACTTATTTCTTGAAGTCAAATAAAACCAGTTTTTTTTGTAAGTTGCCTACTCAAAATTCAAGGAAAAATGAACAGTTTGTTTACTGAAATACGCATTCAGGAGCTTACCCTCTATTTAAAAAGAAGTCTGACTTGTGTACTACGAGGCAGATAACTTCACTGATGTCAATCATACCATTAGGAGTGGTAGTTTTATCATTTTCATAGTAGCTCAGAAAGCCACTTTCCAAAGTGCACCATCTTTTGTTGCAATCTGTGATTAAAGAAATTATAAAAGGTCAGATTTTCTTAATTTTTTTTTTGTTTTTTTTAAGTAAGTAAATACAAGATAGAGAAAAAATTCTGCAGAGCAACTTCAAAGATTTTTTTGGTATATTTAATTACAAATAAATTTTTATTCCCTCTTAAGACCTGAAATATGAATACAACACAACGTAGCAAAGTAATGCCTATTTGCTACTGAAAATAGTCATGAATTCTTTCTAGCTCATGTCTAGTTCTTAGAACAAAATCTGAGGTGCATCTGTTTCCATTCCACAGAGCAGTAGGTCCTAAAAGAAAAATATTTACATATTTTTATTTCCTACAGTCATAAAATTCCTATACAGCTGGAAAAGTACTTCTGAGAATTTGGTAAAACAGTCTGGTAAAAAAAAAATCCACAAAAATCAAACAAATAAACAGTTATAACTTGCAAATATTAACTATGTTATCTGTCATCCATTACTTTTCCTGTTGTTTTCTATATGCTTTATATAATTATAAATATATTATATAATTATAAATATTTATTAATAATTTATTTGTATCAAGCTATTTTCTATCTAGTACTACTTAGATTCTGTCCAAATACACATGTTAAATACTAAAATAAACATAAGATAAATGTACAAGTTTATGGGAGTTCAGCACAAAATTTTAAGGTTTTGAATGCTCCGGGTTTTTTATCCCCCAGCTTTCCCTCTCCCATCTTCCAAAACCTATTCCACAAAACAGCTCACTACTTCAGTATTCATTAAACTATTAAAATCTCAAGGATATTTTTTAATATCAAGGCTTTTTAAAGGGGTCCATAAAACCTTTTACACTAGGAAAAAAAGCAAAAATCTAACCTGCACCCCTAAAACTAAGCTTTACTTTTTGACCCACTACATCAGAATACCCACCAGCATTTGAGCTCTCTTCCCACTGATATCAACAGCTGTTAATTAACAACAACTCTCAAAATTTATGCATCTCTGCTGAATACACTGATGCCACTATAATGAGAAATACACACCAAGTTGGCTCTCTCCTGTACTGAGACACACATAATGAAAAACGAGGCTGTATTTCCAAGTGTTCCACCTGGTTTGTATAAAACCTTGGTTAATTCACAGCACTGAACGATTTCTTCAGTGTCCTTTTACCATTAGAGCCAAGTCAGAACTGCTTCAACAGCTCTCTTCTCTAGAACTAGACAGTTAGGTCAGATTTTTCAGGTAACATGACCTTTTTTGAATATCTGCAGGTGAAGGAGGGAACTGAAATTTTCTCTCACATCTTAGTACACTAACCCTCAAATTACTTCCTGAAGACAGTAAGAAGGAAAAATAGTATTTCCACTTATTCACAGTAATTTGCAATACGAGGACTACTTCATGTTAGTGAGATTTAGTAACAGTTCTGGATGTAGTAAAAGAAGACAAAAAGAAAGATTACATATTTTATGTTTTGAATAGCACAAAGTACTTCTGTCATACTGCTTCTTAAACATGGCAGAGATAGATTAGAGGCTTAATGCGAGAGTAGTTTCTCATTCAAAGTTGCAGGCTTTTTGTTGTTTTTGAAAGGATGTCATTAAACTTCCCTCCCTTGTTCCACTTGTCTTCTTGAACTGCAAATGGTCAGGAAAACCTGTCCTCCCATGTATCTGTAAAGAGCCCATCCCAGAAATATCAGTCCTGACAAACTCAGGGGTAATTCAACATCACTACAACAGCAAAGCAAACAAACACCCACCCCCCCAACAAGCAAACAGTAGAACATCTACCATCTTCAAGACACAATCACAATTTCAGAGAACAAAACCTGAGCTGAGAGAAAACTGGCTCATTTCCATGTGTTTTCCCTCATGTAATAAGTGCAGCAGACTAAGAACTTGCTAAGCAGCTTCATTTCTGTCCACCAAAGACAGTCAAATGTTCTCGACTGGGGGCTTTCTTCATAAATTTAAAGATATCCAACTAACAATGCTCAGTCACAGTGCATCTCCCCCAAAAAGGACAACAGAAGCCATTCTGTGAGCACTTTCAGCTGAATCTTCAGTCTATATAAGTATTTATAAAAATACTGCACTTCCAATATGCCATTATGTCAGAAGAGATTGCCTTGTATCTGCTCTCCACTTGGCTAAGCACTGACTTCTGGAGATTTTTATAATTTTCTTTATGAATATATGCAGATACCCACAGCATGCAAGATCAGGCCTGAACTTGGAGCAAGCAGTAACGAGGTTTGCAGTTATTAAATTGTTTCCCAAAGAAGCTCAGTGCAATTTCAGAGCAATCCCAGACAAAGTCCTGTCCAGCAGCAGTCCTCTTGTCTAAACAGGCATCTTTGTAAAGAACTGCAAAGTTGCTGGGAAATGCCTAGCATTAATTTCATCAGGCACTAGCTCAGATATCACCCCGTGCTTTTAAGGATTTGGAGCCACATCCAGATTCCTCAAAAGTAAATTTAAACAGGAGTTCTATGCTTCAGCATGCTTTTAATGTCCACTAAGGATCTTAAAGGCGTATGCCATGAGAATATGGACATAATCATATAAAAATATGTATATACCAGTGCAGGATCCCATGTAAGGATTTTAGCAATAATAAATTCATAATAATAATAAATAATAATAAATAATAAATTCAATAATAAATCACTACAGATTTTAAAAATCCATGTTATCTGTTTAGATGGGAGAAAAATATAGTAATACAAATATAGGAAGACTAATGGGAAGAAAAAGGGAAAAATTATCTGATAACAGATCTCTCTCTCAGAAAACAAAAAAAAAAAAGAAAAACAGAAAACAGATATGCACAGGAGACCATGTATACATGTGATATACATGCATTATCAACCCACAAAGCTCAAGTTGCCAAAGAGTTGCTGTAGAAGATCATTTCTACTTGCAAGATTTTGTAAATTTGTGAGCTTGAGAAATATCCTACTAAAAAGTCCATGCTACTTATAAATTATTTCTGTAATAAAATCATTTTAGATGAAAAATAATTTTTGGTATTAATTTAAATATAATTAAAGAAAGAAGTGTTTCTCTTTGTTTTTTATTTATCAATTACTGTGTTAACTGTACAATTTTTCAGAAGTTCAGTCTTCTTCCTCTGCCAACTATTGAATGAAGAAATCAAGACAAACAGTATTTTTTTATCTGAAAGAGGTCTACTGAATCAAAAGAGAACATGTCATATCAAAGACATTTTATCTCAAAAAAAGTAATGCAAGAAGTTAAAAAGAATAAAATTCATCCATACATATTCATGTGTTGTTCAAATACATAAATTAAAAGCTAAATACCTTCTTTTAATTTCTTCTCTGTAGGAAGCTTAGCTGCATTAGAAGAAACTTTGTACAAGAATTCACAAAGAAAGGTGGAATGCGAAGTATCTTCTGAGAAGTCACTTTCAAAACAAGGATCATAGTTTGGGAAATCTATTCAAAGACAAAGCAGTAAATAACATACAGATCATCAGTTATATCAGTTGAAGCCATTTTTCCACATCTTTCTAAATGCTTGTCTGTAAATACGGAGTTGCTTCGCAGTATCCTTACTACAACACTGATAAAACCTACTGGTTTTATTTTTATAATTAGAAAACATAATGATTTAAAAATTTTTTTCACACTTCTTACAATGTTGCCATTTTCTACCACTGGTTGCCAAGGTAATATAAAACCCTGTTTTCTGATGTACCAAACTTCCTTTTCATCCTTTGTGTAACATACTTCAACAGAAGGAGATTGCTCCTTTTGAGGGCCTATGTAGAGTTTACCAGCAACCCTGGCAGCAGACAGACAGTGACTCCGGCAATCATCATCCACATGCACTGATCTCCCTTTCCCTAAAGATAAGAACATGATGGTGCTGCCTTGGCTTGAGGGCCAAAAGTAGAAAAGACAGGCCCAATACAAATAAACTTCTCTCTCTGTAACCTTAGGACCACTTGAGACCAGAGGTAGCAAAAACAACCACCCTAGCTACATGTCAGCTGACTGAGCTCAACATCCTATGATCCAGTGCATGGCACTGGCGTGAACAATACTCAGGCAGAAGTTAAAGCACTGTGTTTGCCCTTGGAAGCCTTAATTCATTCCTGTGTTTCCCACTAAACCTTTTTTTGTTTAGCCTATACAGTGTTACTTTGCCAAGTGACACAAGCCAATGGAAAGGTGGTCCAGGACAACATCCACATAGTTTTTTAGGGCTTTTTTGTGTGTAGGTCTATATGTGAACTTTCAGCCCCTGACAGTTTCAGATGCTGTCCAGCACCTTTAAAAAAAAAGCTCAGTCACACCCATGCACCTCAGTATATTTACGGTTAAGAGCAGCTTTCTGTTTTCAAGAGCCTCATGGCAGCCACACACAGCAAACAGAACTGTTGACTTCCAAGCCAAAGTTATCATTTGCTCCAAGCTGCAGCAGAAGATGTGATGGGAAAGGAAGGTTTCTGGGATAGGTCATATTGCAGGTTCAAGAGGTGAGTTTTATTCTGGGAGGAGAGTTTGTGAAAAAACCTCTAGGTCTGTGTGCAATAGAAGTATATATCAATTTAAATAATCTTCAAAAAAAACAAACAAACAACAATTCTTTAGACAGATGTTAAATTTATGTACCCATTTTTTTTCTGGTAAAAGACTGACAGTATTAGCAGAGAAGATAATGTGGTTTTTCTTTGCTATAACTAAGGGTATGAGATCTATGACTTATCACTGTGTTGTCTGGGAGTTTTCTAAGTCCTAAATATGATGTCTGAGTAAAATAGCAAATCTGCAAATCTGCACACAATTGAAACTGTGCACTGATAAAATACAGTTAATGCCACCACAATTTCCCCTTTGCTATACCACTATTTTTCAAAGCAAAGACAATTTTGCTTCTGAATTATTTCCTTCTCTTTTCCACAATACAAAATTAGATCAACAGAAAGAAATGCACCACACCTGAGAACTTATTATGGTACAGGAATTCCATCTGCAGTCTTTGTCCAGCTTTCTTGGCTAATAAGTAAGGGGTGCTGTAAAGAGGGTCTCCAGTGGCACACATCGCATCAGCCCCACTGAAGAGTAACATCAGAGTTTCTAACACGTCTTGTCTGACCACAGCAGCACACAGGGCCTTGTCATAGAGAGGGGAAACAAGAAGTCTGTTTAAATTAGAAGGTTACTGGCAACAAACACGTGCAATGTAGATGCAAATCCTTTCACCTCTAATATAGCTAGATCATAAGCATTGATAAGTATCAGAAATCATGAAGTATGGTCAGAATCTATGAAAATTCAACAACAACAAAAATATCCCAAAATATCAATCCAAACCCAGCAAAATGTCGCTTTCACAAATTTGACTTGGGAAGGATAACATGAATGAATACAACTGAAGGGGAAACTTGCTGTTTATTTACATCAAACTAATAAAGAAAAACTCTTACTATTTCAGACCTCAGAAGTTCAACCAAAGAGATGAGACTGGATTCTTGGACTCTGTTCCTAGGGCACATACTGAAATTCCTAGGTAGTTTTCTTAAAAACCACAGTCAGTCAATATGGGAAACTATTCTTTTTATTAATATGTATTATTAAGATATATTAGGATTATTAATACATATTAAGATGTTTTTACTCTTTTTATTAAGAGTAAATTAAGTATCTTGATACCTGTTAATTTTCCCTGAAATGTAAACATCTCACCACATCCGAAAACATGACTCTCCTTTTTTTTTTGTATACACAAAGAAAAACATGATAAACTTTTTTATTTCTTTTACAAGATTTGTCCAAAACCTTAAAACCAAAAATAGCTACACAATTACACCAACCTATTCCATTAAAATTTCTATGATTTCATATTTATTTATTTAGTTAATGATTGAGTTTTTCTTAAATTATTAAAGCAAAAGTCACTCAAAAAAGAAAGACTACTCCTATAAAACTTAGCTGTTCTAAAAAACATGTAAGCATCCAGGAGGCACAAGATAACAAAGACAGTTCAGTAAAAGTTCTAGAATTACTTGGCAATGAATGCCTTATTACATGGTAATTTCATGTCTCTGCAGGGAATTTGATAACTTTTCCCAGTATTTAAATTATTATTTGACATATATATCCTTCCCCACAAAAAACAAACTTCACAATCTCTGCATATCCTTTGAGACAATTTGACTCATGTAATTGAATGCATTAAAATTGCAAAATGCATTAAAACTCTTCTGTATTCATTATCCCTGAAAAATCATGACTCAAACCATCACATCTTAGCATTTAGTCAAATGGACATAAAAATTTACAGAGACATTGATAATTAATATTCTGTATTTTACAACTCTAAATAATTTATTTTTGTAAAAGAAGAGAACACACATTTCCATCATTAATTTTAGTTTTTTCATTTCCAATAAGCTACAAGCAACTATGCAAGTCTGTATGAACTATTTTCACAATTGATAACAATGAATCATCTACCATATTTGAATGTTAGATGTCAGACATGTGGAATATAAAAAAAATAAAGAAGTAATCTAAAGAAGTAAAGTGGAAATTTGCATGCCTAGACTACAGCTGAATTAAAATAAAGATCCATATTTTGATGGCTAAGGAAGACAGGAAGAACTACAATAACCTTCAAACAAATTACCTGGAAAAACAATAAATTAAGTAGTTTACTGCAATGACTTCGGCAAAGGCCCCTAAATAACCATTATTCAGCTGTGTGAGAATGTCACTCAGGGTGAATTAATTTCTCACAAGTTTAAGAAGAAATTTCACATAGATACAATATAATCCAACACATAGTATAGACTTTAACATACTATACTACCTTATTCAACTGCTCCTTGGTTTTGTAGTGAAAAGGTGTTTTCCTGAATTTTCCCTCTTTGTATTTTTGTGTAATGAATGCAATCCTTTTCTCTGCTGGGTCATCAATATGCAATTCTTCATCTGGAGGAAGATTTCCAGCCCAAAAGCTGTTTGCCCTCTTATTTCCAATGACAATAAACAGCTAAATGAGATTCAGGGAATAAATTAGCAAAATAGTATGAAGGACATGAAACCAGCCTCTAAACACTTTTCAGCTGCTAAATGTTGAAAAAGAAAGTTATTAAAGAAAAAATTTCCTGCAGAAAACAGAAGCCTCTCTAAAGTCACTGTCTATGGTCATCTATAAATGAATAATAAAGCCTGCAGTTATCATTTACCATCAGTAGCAGTTAAGCTTTACAGGGCTAATCAGCTGTAACACTTCCTTACATATTAGAAAATATTAGTTAAAGTTCAGAGAAGAGTAGCATGTACGGCTCCAACCCTCTCTAGTAGGACCACATTTTTTTAACATCCCAAGCAGCTAAGCTGGTAGTGACAAGTTTCCTCTCTTTTCCCCTTTCTTCATCATGAGCACTCTCCAAAAGCACTGCATCTCTTTTTCTCCCAGAATATTAGATACTTGGAGAAATACTAAGAGAAATTGTACATTTTGTTAGCAAAACAAATGAATATTTGGAATTACAAAGAAGTACCTGATGCACAGAAACATCAATTTTACTGTAACAGCACCATATTGTTTAGCTGTTATACGTTCAGTTTTCTTGTGAATAAAACAGTAAAAACTCCTTTTCATACAGTAGGTTTCAAGATGGAAAAAAGAGAATATCACAACATACCTCAATAAGTTCATTGCTCCAAATGCTGGCATCCATTTTTAGACTCCTGACCTTTGAATCTCTGGGTCCTAAAGATCTGTGTTGTCCTGAAAATCCAAGAGCATTACTTAACTAAGGCACTTAAACTGGATTTCTCTTCTTCTGAGATAACAAAAAAATGTGATGAAGTCAGATTTATTCTACTCGCAATTTTTAAAAAAGGTTGAGTTTGACATTTGAATATTAAATAAGCACCAAAAATGCACCTCTTTTTTTTAAAAAAAAATGTTTGTTTCATTTGGTAGTAATTGATAAACAAAGTAGGCTGTCTCATGTAGACTGTTTCTGGGAGAATCTGGTTTAAAAAAAACCCTACAATTATAAATTATTTCCTTGAATCTACTGCTTAAGCACATATTTCAATATAAAACATGCCAGAACTGTATTTTGAATATTATCTTAAAAAGCTATGCCCACTGGCAGTAAAATATGTGCAGATATAACAAAATTAACACCCAAAATTTACACAGTAAAAATCGTTATTCTTTGGCATCTAGCCTTCCAAAAGCCATTCCTTCCACATGAAGTGTTATTGTGTCTTAATTTGCACTAATTGTGAAGGATGATTCACCTGAGAGAACTCAATCACACCAGACACGTCATTTATGTATGGAAGTGCTTCAGAATAAGGATGTCCTTGTTATTAAAAGACAGATATGCACACATTTTGTGTCTCAAAACTTCCACAAGGATAATACTTAAAAAAAAAAAAAAATTAAAAAAGTTCCAATTCAAGGACAGACATAGATATGCAAATATGACATTTTGTAGAACCCACATAGCTTGTCATTAATTACTCTACCTGCACACTTCTTACAAATGACAACACAGAGATTGATGGATGCCCAGTCAGGACTAGGAGCTTTACAGTCAGCGCAGCTCCTGTTGGACTCATTGAACCAAATCTTCTCTGCTACTTCATAATCAGATAGAGTTTCTGCTATTGATTGCTGGAGTGCTTCAATCCAGTCTTGTTTCTCTCTTTCTGACTCTGCTGTAAAGCTGAAACAATTGACTTTTCTGTGTTATTGATCTTTATTTTAAAGCCCAATTAAACATGGTCTGTAGTCTCCTTATTTATTACATTTACACCCGAAATCACAGTCAAAAATCTTCCTCCACACAGCTATAAATCCTAAGATGGAATGTATTATTTTGTATTTTTAGTCAATGAAACTCCCTCTGTTTTACCATTGTTTTCAACAAAACCACTACTAGCATAAGCTACATAGCTTTTGTAACATTCATGTAACATCCCTGAGTTAATCTCAATCCTTTTATGTTACCAATTACCAAACTTAAAGACTGAACTTTAACAAAAAGCATAGAATGACATAAGGAAACATGGAAAATTAAACGAGAATTAAAGACTGAGAATTAAAAAAAATTCCTGAGCACTAAAAACAAATACTTGCTTTTCATTTAAATTTATGTTTTTAAAAGAAACATCAACATGGTCACATCTTAAAAAAATCAAAGAACTAGCAATCTACCAACTAGCAACAGATTCAAATTGCTGACCAAGACTAATTTACCTGCTAGGTGACTGAGAATTAAAGTATTTGCTAAGATTTAACAAGCCCAGAAGAACAAAGAAACTTCTTTTTCTCCTCCATTGCAACATTTCATTTAAGAAACACTACAACACTTAACAAAAGGCTTTTATTAGCATGTACTTTCATTTTCTTAAAAAATCATTACAAATCTCAGCAATTAGCCTAAGTGAAACTTTGAACTGCTTTCAACCAAGGATTTCTACAAGGGATAGCACATGAAAGCTTCTTTGAAATAAAATGCATAATACTAAATGGATGCAGCATTATTTTACTATTGAAGTTTATTATTCTTCAGGATGAAATCAATTTGTGAAAGTGGAGGAATTAATTTCTCTTTTTTCCCTTTTGCCCTTGCACAGAACAAACAAAGAAGGCTACATAAAAGTACAGACCTGTGGGCATAATATGGCTAGTCAGGAGCTAATAGATGAAGCACACAACTAAACAAATCAAAGAAAATCCTCCCATTTTTCTAAAAGCTGCTGAACATCCCTAAGAAAAACATTATCTTTTCATCCAAAGTAGGTATACCACTGCAGTATGAAACCAGTGCCTTTAGTGCCTTAGTTAATTGCTTATTTTGTAAAGTAAATAATAAAGTTCTTACCTAAAGCTTTTATAAGGAGTAATTATTTCAAAAGATTGCTTTGCAGCCCGATCCAATTGTTTTACATTTGCCACATTCATAGGAATTAAAGTGATACCAAATCCTGTCTTGAAGTCCTAGGAAAAAAGATAATACAAGTTTAGGAGGTTATCATTCCAGAATAAAACATGTAAAGAAGAATTATTTCATCATGGCCCAAGAAAAACAAGATCAGTAATAGACATCTTTGCCACTTCTAATTTATTAATGGACAAACAAACCTCCACTAAATTTTGTCCAACCACTAAGTTTCCAGCTGCCAGAATGACCTTAATTGATTGTTGATAGGCAAAAAAAATGCATGCTCAAACTATAAATAAAGGCAAGAACAAAAAAAGAAACTTTAAACAATAGCATTAAAATGTGAATGCAAAATTATGGAAGGATTTAGCATAAATCATGCTTTAGTGTCTAAATAAACTTTATACATCTAAATCCTTCTCACTGACAGTAGTTTTTCTTGCTTTAAAACTGAGTGTTTTTTAACTAGCTAAATATGTACTAAATTCTTCCTTAAACTTTCTGATGTAGTACATGAATTAAGTGTCAAGGACATGAACTATGTTCTTGAAAAAGATCCTACAAAACAGCTAAAATACACTGAAGGTCAATTATGACTCAGTTATAAGAAAGTATTTTTGCCTTAAAACAAGCAAAATTGTTTGGTGGGTTTTTTTTTTTCTACTGCAAGGAAAAATGAACTAAAAATAAAAATAAATTTTGTATTGACAGAATTGGGAAATAAAATGTGAGCTCACACTGAGCTCCTGTGAGGGCCTCTCAAATGTATGGATTTTGGAAAAACAGATGAATTCATATGTTGTTTCTTATCTGTTTGGAATACCATCAGCATTTGCTTCTTTAAATTTATTTATATGTTCATCTCAAGGCAGTCACTTCCACAGGTTTAATTCCTGGAAATATCAGCATTCTTCTTAAAAACAGTAAATAAAGCTGAGCAAAAAGCTGAATTCACATAACTTACCATTTGCATGTTCACTGTTACCTCTCATTTAACAAGTAGTTGGCACAGACTGATAAAAATAAAAGCACTGAAGGGTAAAAGCTTCAGAGTTGCCTGCCTCTGAAGAGGGAATTGTTTTCCTACTTAATACATATTTCAACCTGCATCCCTGACAAGTTTCTCTTTGTAAGACTCACAAATTTCTGAGCACTAAAGCCTACATGGAGAAAATACTCCACAACAATCTTTTCATTTTATTTCCCTGTTGCAGGTATGAGCAAATAAAAATACATTTCAGCCAGGATTGCTGAGGCTAAATCTGACACGCATATATGTGCGTGTCTATGCAGAAGCAGAAGTATCTATTGTATTACCCAAGGCACTGAGGAGAATAATGCCCCAAAAAGCAGAAATATGTCCATTGTAAGGTTTTTAGAATGACAGAATTCCCACTAATTAAATATACTGTGAGATAAGTTAGCTAATGTTTCCTTGCCAGACTTCTTATTAAGAATTTTTTGGGTTTTTTTACATTCCATTACCTTTGACAGTAACAGCAGGAAACTAAGTGTGGATTTCAAACACAAACCTTTATAAAAAGTAGATGCTTTTCAATAACTAACCTGGCTTAGCCACTCCTCATATCATTTATTTTAAAAAATATTAAAAAATAATATAAAAATTTTAAATATTTCTAATTTTCTTCTACCCTCTTATCCTGTAACCTAGACATTTTTATTTCTCTCCTCATCTTCAGCCCCCATTCCATTTTCCTATAAATCAAGGGGTTTCATACTGACACACCTGCCTCAGAAGAGAGAAGAGAGTTCTATTAAGCCTACACAGTCCCTAATTCACCCTCTATGGGAAAAGAGTGGGCAGAATAATCTCTTTTTGAGTGTGAACTTGACAGCATCCTCTGTAGCAGAGAAGTATTCTCAACTTCACATCACCAGTGAGAAAAAGAAGAGCATGAAATAGTAAAAAAAAAAAAAAAAAGACTGAGGATAGAAAACCACAAAACTTTAATTTCTATCAGTGAAAAAAAAAAATATAACCAAAACAACCCAAAACCATTAACTTTCTAGAATTAAATGGCTTATGCTTCAGAGATGTAAATTGAATGCAAGTTTCATTTGTTGATTCAAATATTTCAAATTAATTAAAAGAGTTGGACTTAAGAAATCCTGATTTTCAAAGGAGAGGTAACAAGCCCATCCTTGAACCTGCACAGTGCAATGTATTCTTTGTTTATTAAATAACAGCTGAAAAACCACCAGAAGCCATGGTTAAAAGGTGTTCAATATACTTTTAGGTCCAGATTAAAGTTCACTGAAGGTAAATTATTAACAAAGATGACAAAAATAATAACTGCGTTATTAAGCCAGATCAAAAGTTCCCCTGTAGAGTAGCTTCCCTTTAGGCACTTGATACTGGTGACAGCCATAAAAATAATGCAAATAAGAAAAGCTACATGATCATCTTCCCAAATAAGCTTCCAGCAATCTAAGCACTTAAAAGTCCCTAAACAAACAGATGCAGCAAAAAAAATCATACTCACTAACCACTGACAGATAAATCCTCAAAGAATTAAAAAGCCCAACAACAACGACGCGCTTTGAGGTCTCTGCAGGATCTTACTTCATAAATTTCCCAAATAGTGATTGTGAAAAAAGGAAGTCCTTTTGTATATGTATAGTGCCACCTGCAAACTGAGAATTTTCCATTTTTTGCCTGACAACTGAAAATTTCATTACATAAAAGAAACGCTAACTAAAATTCATTCACCTACTTATTCCGTAATGTTCCTTCTTAAAAATATTTATTCTATATTCCTTTCAGTTTCTTTCTTATGCCTTCCAACAGCTGGTTGCATCTTCTTTCCTTGTAGAAAAATGGAGCAAGCTGCACAGAAGCAATGTGCCACACGAAGATCACACACACATTAATGTCTGTGAAAACAGACACCACACTTCGTTGTCCTACATTCAACAACACAGAACCAAGAAAGCACTCTAGAAACAAAGTGCATTAATTTGAAAGTCTTTACCTTCAGGTGCAGCACCAACCTTTCAAAATTTGCACACGTGCCCAGTGTCTGAACAATCCCACTAAAGAAAGAATAACTCATTATGTTTTACATTCAGCAAGGGCATGAGAACTTACAATACTGAATTTCAGTATGAGGAATGTCAGAAATGTTAAGAAATTAGAATTTACTTTTCAGAACAGAATATGGTGGCAAATTAAGCAATTTCATTGGTATATTAGAGTGAAGTTATTTCCATAATGGTCCAAACAAACTCCTTAAGGTAACTGCACAACACTTGGATAAACCTGGCTTTGTGAGTGACAGGTACACTGGAATCTAATTTTCAGTGCTCAGAATTATATGCTTTCAGGAGAGCAGTCTTCTCTACTTCAGAAACAGAAGTGGGAATTGGTACAGGGAAGAAAGAAATACTCCACTTTGAAAGATGAATTCACTCACTTTGAGTGCACAGAAGGACAATAGGGCTATTCAAGAACTATACAAAAAATATCGACAGCAAAAGCAAGCAGTATCTTTTCAGAATAAGAATTGTCTTGCTTCTACCCACTGAAAGCTCATTGTTTCAGATACATTGAACTGTGCTAGGCTTTCTGACAAAGGAAGAAAACTTTAAGATTCAAAAATGCACTAAGAAATATGAGGGTTGGGGTTTTTGGTTTGTTTTTATTTTTTTTAATATAGATATGACTTAAATGTGTGTAGTTATACTAATACTATCTTCAAGAATTCTAAGAAAGGTTGAAAAATGAATTGACAATAGAGCTTTAATAAAAAAAAAACCCAGAAAAATTCTTTACAGATATAATAATAGATTAAAAGTATTCGCTAAACAGCACAGTTAACTGAAAGCTAAAAATAATAAGATGAGTACCAGCTTTCTGATTAGCTGTTTCTCCTTCCTGAAGGGTGAATGATTATAATGTGTGAGGGTTGCTGTCATTATCACCCCTGTCTGAAAAAGACATAACCTATGAAAACCTGTCATCTGTATATAAACCATGAAATTATTTAACTTTTATATTTAAATGTACCTTTAACATGTATCTATAAAGTGTCTCTCAGTGTACAAAACTGCCTTCTCTACTATGCATTATCTTTTCATAGGCAAAGGTCCCTTGTGACAGGCTTTACTAACATTTCTTCAATGCTATTTTGGATGAAGTTCAAGGAGATTCAAAATAAGATTAGTCTCATATCTTTTCTAAATATACCACCACTGTTTTATAAACACAGAAATAAACACCAAGGTTAAGGAACACTAATGTATGGATGTATAAAATCATGCAACTATATCTGAACAAGTGAAACTTTCAGAGCTGCTGGACACCTAACTTTCACTGTGTTGTCTTAAAAAGACAGACTTGGGCACCCTTCTGCATACAAGTCATAAATAAATCAGAGGCTGAACCTTGTGACTCTCAGTTAGTTCTCCACAAAACAAAAAACTACCTAAAAGTTATATTTTTCTTTCTATTTTTTCCCTTCCACTTGGTTTTGTTCCAGTAACACTAGGGCTGGCATTCTTACTGGTTTAGTCAAACCAAAATTCATCTGAACACAGGAGTTCTAGAGACGCTGCTTGTGTTCCTCAACATTCACTGTTTCAGCATTTATTTTCATGTCTTTGAATGCACTGTCTTTCATGGATCTAACATTAGCTCCCCAATGTATTAAGCTGATTAAAAAAAATTCTTGCATCAGGAAAACATCTCAGAGAAATGAAACCAAAAAATGCAGCCACAATTATAACTTCACCCATACTCTTTGCATAAAAATAATTGAAATTAAAAGGTTAACTAACTACTACTTCCATATTAGAAATACCAATCCATATTTTTATCTCTTTCTTTTTTGGTGGAGGACTAAGCGGACAACAGCAACAGCAGAGAAAAAGGAAAATTGCTGACATGAGTTCAAGAGACTATGTTTCTACATACTCACATAGGCATATACACACAGAAGTATATATAATACGAATATATAAATGAATGTTTGTAGCATATTTAGAAGCAAAAAAACCCCAGAACTCTGAAGTACAGAAATAGCACTGATATATGCTG